TCGTTAACGATCTTCTCAAATATAACAGATTTTCAAATAACGAATACCTCGAAAACACCCTGAATCTTTTCATTTGCCATACTCCTTTACAAGTGTCAAACTAACCACCAAGGAAATCGCTAATAATTGTGCATCAGAATATGCATAAAATGGTAAAATGGATGTATTAAGAAAATTAATACAAGAAATAAAGAAAGAGAACCAGCGAAAAGTAAAAAAGCAAAAGAAAAATAAAGATGGGAAAACATGGAACAGAAACTAGATTAATTTCAGGAGGAAAATTACAAGAATTGGGGAAAAGATTGGACGGAATACAACAAAGAATAGTTTAAATCGGAAAAAACAACCCTAAAGCAGAAGTAAAGTAGACGGTACTAGAGGAGCTGGAGATAGAAAGGCATGTAGGGAAACAAACAATAGAAAAAAATAAAGAGATTGAAGATGGAACTGGAAAATAAAAGAAAGGAAGAAATATAAAACAAAATCTAATTTTTTTTTGGAATAGTGCTGGAAGAGAATAAAGGAAAGGAGTTGGGAGGATTTATAAAAGAGAAGATTAGGCTGAAAGTGGAAATAAAAATGTATGGAAAGATAACAGAAGGTATATATGGAAGGAAAATAGAGAAAAGTTTGTTATGCTAGCGTAAGTTGAATATTAGGATAAAAAAAATAACTTCATATAGAAGGGAATTTTGTGTCCTTTGTTAAATCGTTTCGAAGTAATTAACAGTAGAAATAACGAAGAACACGCTTTCTTAGACAAGTGATAATGGCTGTAAGTGTAGCCTCTTCTTTTGAAGTAAGTGCTATAAATTAGTTTGAATTGGTACATCTAATTATGGATGGTGCACATTAAGAGATGCAGGGCCCAGAATATGTCAAATACAAATCACCGATAAAGAATTTTAGCGGTTATTTTTACCGATTGGTGCTATTAAAATGTCATTTGCCTCTAAACACGTATGTCAGCTATGTCTGATAAGTTCAAAGAACAATGCCCAACAGTATTCAGTACGAACGACATCGAAATACTTGGACAAAAATAGCGCAAACAATTTAAAAATTCTTGCCCAAATTTACATATAAATATATGTACAGTGCTCATTCATGTAATCGTTTGACAAAACGTGTACACGCACCCTGTTCGCATAAGTACATAAGTTTTTGCTTAATTTTTATAATTAAACAATATAGATATAAAGGGGCAAAAGATTAGTATGTTTAGATTTGCAGATGATATAGCAGTATTAGCATCTAGTAATGAGAAGTTAGAGATGGCTTTAAATAAAATCGAAGCGGTATTGACAAAACAGTATTGTATGAAAATAAATAAAAGTAAAACAAAAATACTGGTAAGCAGGGGAAGAAAAAGTAGGGAAAGAGCGAATATAAAGATAGGAGACGAAAGATTAGAAGAAGTGCTAATTTTAAGTCAGATAAGTCAGGACGGAAGGAGTAGTTAGGACATAATGCAGAGGATAACAGAATAAAAAGAAGTCACGTCTATGCTCGCGAACAGTTAATTTAGAAATTTGAAAAAGATTGTTAAAGGTGTATGTTTGAAACGCGGTGCTGAATGGGTGCGAAATATGATCGATGGGCGCGGCGGTAAAGAAAAGGTTAGAAGTAATCGAAATGTGGTGAATCATGAGGATACCGTGGACAAAGAAGGTTAGAAATGAAGAGGTATTAGAAAGAATAAGAGAACAGAGGACTCTATGGAAGTCAATAAGAAATAGATTGGTAAGATACCTTCTAAGTCATGAAGGGCTAGTCAAACATATTACGAGGCAGAAACGGAAGTTAGGAGGGGTAGAGGTAGACCTAGATTAGATTACTGTTCGCAAATAGTTAAGGATATGGGTTGTTTTAGTTTTAAGGAAATGCAACGATTAGCTCAGGATAGGAAAGAATGGAGGTGCGTGTCCAACCAGACTTGGGACTGAGGACCTTATGATGATGATGAAAATTAAACAATATGTATATAATAGTTCCGCTTAAGAATTAACTTCTGTTCTTTGAAAACGACAGGCTTACCCAAAAACATTAACAGATCCTTGGATTTTTCTACTTTTTATTGGTCATGATGCTTTGGGTTAATTTACTGCTTCTATTTCTAATCCTTTTACATAGACTTACCAACTTGGAGATACAAGAGCACTAAACATTTTTTATTAAATTTTTCTATCCTTATGAAGTCGTATATTCTTCAAACATCGTTAATATAACAATTATCTGTATTTTATTGGTAGATAGTGATATTGAAGCAAGAAGTTAAGATTTTTTGCTGAAATTGTTGGTTATAATTCTAGACTGACGGCACTTTTAGCGGTCGATAAAATGATTAGAATGATAACAGGGGAAAGATAATAGCCACAATTAAGAGCAAGTGTTACTTGTTCTTTAGAATGTACTAATAAATACAACGAAGTGTAATTATTGTTGAAAAACAGCAGCTGCGTCAGAAATAGCAATAAATATACTACACAATTACGTAATTCTCTTCAGTACAAGTTGTTTGAATTAAATTTCCTCTAAAAATAACTTAACTCGTAGCGGACTCGGAATTATACATACATGTACTTATATATATCTATGTTATTCCATTCTCAAACTTGCTATGTAATTACTCACTACTTGCAACATTGTTCCATCGTCATACTTTTGCAATTAAGTCGAATCATTAACACTTGAGCCTATGGGTGCCGTCTCTACACGGTCCATTAAGAATAACCATAAAATTGCCGATTATAAATTACAACATACCGCAATACTCACCACAAACAACTTTATTTACGCCACAACTACACCTAACTAGATCACTGGCAAAAAAGGAGAGGAGACTCCGAACTCCAACATGGAGTACTTTTTGAAAACCATAAACCATTAAACTTCATCTAACCGAACGAAAAATCAGTTAATAATTAGTGGTACTGTCCAAACATACAAGAAATGTTTCATTTGAAAATATTGAGTTAGGAATTATATATATATTTTACCAGTGAAGCTTTCCTATTATCTAATCTTCACCAGAATTTTCCAGCGTTAACAGTTACTTTTAGTTTCCGATAGAAAAAAGGTTTGAAATGAGACGGTATTGGAATGAGTAGGAGAACTGTGGAAGTCGATAAGTAAAAAAAGTGATATGATGGTCGTACAGATCTTGATACTCAAAGAAGAGGATTATCGTTTATAATTCTAGTTTTATTAAATGAACAATTGATTGACACCATTATAAAAACCTGTGAGGTATAAGCTAATTAGAAGATATTCATTAACTACGTGAGCTCAAGATGGGGAGAGAGGGATCTAACAGAACCTCCCCAAATATCATTTACGCCAACGAAACCCATCCTAACCCAACCATTATTTATATTGTCAAACTGTATACCACCCAAAGCGATACACCTAATAAGGTTTTAACAAAATCATAACATCATATATCTACCTACCTTACAATGTATTATTCACAATTGATTAAATTAAATGTGCCAGGTTCAGGAGGTCAAATAAACAATCGATTTGTTGTTTCAATTGCCATTAATTATGGATCCCGATTCTCTATCGAAACCATACAAAACTTGTTGATAATTGCTTATTCACATTTTCCATACGAGGTAGTTTCAGAAGTGTTACTTTTGGCCAGTTCTTTTGCAACTTTAACTAAATTATTAATATCGTCCTATTTATTCCGTAACTGCCAAGTCGCAGAAAGTGTGAATTTGCATTTAAAATTCGGTAACATCGAGCCAAGTTAGAAAACTGAAATATCCATTATTTATCCGAAGATGGTCTCTCAAACGCATTAAAATTTTATAACTATTTCAAAGTCGTAAAGATAAGTCTGATGTATGCTACTCTAATTAGCTACTACGACTTTTAAACAGCGATGTAGTAGCAGCATCTGAAAATATTACACAAATATTGTGGGACAAGTGCAGTTTAATAATTCTTCTAAACACACATTTTTCTATTTACTGACACAATAATTGTCTTAAAAGCTGAAATTTTCTATCATACATGTGAGCATAAAATGACCTTTAAAGAAAATAGTGTCGATAGTTGTGAGAGAATTTAACTTTTCTCCAATGCATTAATTGATCCTTTAACGAACAAAACAGTACAAGTTACTTAAAAAAAGTACAAAATATCGAAAAAAATTAGTTTGGTTCTATATCTCAAAAAATATGTTGTCCAGACATAGGAACAAAGAAAGATCCTTTTTTTCAAACAGTGGTAAAGATTCTTTTTTTATATTTAACCAACAATAATATGAATGAAGTACTACCCTGCTTATTTCAAACAATTGCTTCCAATTAATATTTTATTAATAAGAATCTATAACTTATTAAGTGGCAAATTTTAAATTTTCTGACAATTTCACAATGCAATATTTTATCATGGTTATTTTATACTAACAAAAACCTGATTTCAGTTATCAGCATATTTTGTTATGATTATTATTTTGAAAATTAACAACTCATATGAGGTGTCTATATTTAATTTTTCTAAATTTCCGTAACATATCGCACATGAGCTCTACATGCACATTGCTCGTGGAATATATTTTTATTATAATGACGTCAGTGATATCTCTGATTTACTAATGAATCAATTTTAAACCGTTATTACAGTTTTAACGTAAGTATAGAGCCAATATACTTCAGTATGTATTACATCATACTTAATAAAAATGTTGTTTAATAAGTAGAAAATTTTTGAAAATAATATGAGAACTATATACCTAAAAAGAACTAATTCAACGAATCAATTGTGCCAGATCGATTGCTTGAAGCAATAGTTTCAATCAATGGATTTCGTATTTGAAATTACAGAGAACGTAAAATATTTAATGTTCTTTACGATTCAAAACATCTAAATCCTACCACATTTTACACTTAATATTTAAAAGCTATCCAAATGGTAAATAATACAACTAATACTTATATATTAAAACCTATTTCATTCGGACATTTTCGAATTGTTTCGTTTTTTTCCAGATGCATGTGGCCTGAGCGATGTGTCCCATATAGAATCCCTCCAGGAAAAATCTCAGTGTGCTCTCGAAGAATATTGTCGTACTCAGTATCCAAATCAGCCAACGAGGTTCGGAAAACTCCTGCTGAGACTACCGAGTTTGCGAACAGTATCGTCGGCAGTTATAGAGCAATTGTTTTTTGTTCGTCTAGTAGGTAAAACCCCAATAGAAACCCTAATTAGAGATATGCTTCTATCGGGAAGCTCATTTTCCTGGCCATACATGTGATACTTGAAGCTATACTAGAATATCCTAGTCAAAAAAAAAATAATAAACGCTGTAATTATCTATGATATGAGAAGATAATTGCCACACTTTTAGTTATTTTAAATACCTATACGAATTGATAAATAAAATAGACTGAACAGTGTGCCTAGCAGGCCTAATACATAACTCATACTTGTCTTACATGAAGACCTGAAGTGAGTATTTAATAACTAAACAAGCTGTCGTTGCCAAAACCTGAACTTTCACTCCTATAGGTATCTTTAATATAATCAATTTTTGGCACAAGTGTAGTAGGTGTATGGATCACAATCCCCAATGGAGTCCCTTGTATTTTTTAGTAACGAAAAGTACAAATATGTAAATAAAAATTATTTTGGGAAAATCGTTTCTTAGAAAATATGGTGCACAAACTGGGACCTTCAGTCAGGGGGAGGACAAGGGTTATATGGGGTTGATATAAACTTCTACAATAGATACGCTAGGAAGAAAGACCGAAAATTAAAAAATTTATTAATAGACGAAACTTCCAAAAACATTTTTACTATTGCAGATTTGATCTGGTCAGGTTAATGATGGCTTGGGTTGGGTTGTGTTAGTTTTTTTCCATCTTAGGTATTACGTTTTCCATCTGCATCCCCTGTTCCTCGACCCCTTCTCCCCCAAATAATTAGGAAATGATCTTCACAAAATAATTTTTATATATCTGGACTGCTCACTTCCTCCCCTATTTCCAGGAGATGTGATTCATATACTAAACAACAGCCCATTTTTCTTTTTATCATAATTTATGACGTTTAAAATTGTTCATTATAATATTTTTATGATAACGTTGTATGAAATTGGAAAGAAAAAGAAATGGCGGAGTTCTTTACCGTATTTCATGAGTTGACAAAAGCCTTTTAATTTGTTTTTTATGCTTTTGGTGTAATAATAATTAATAATTGATAGATATAGTGTATTTAAAAAAATAAATAATAGAGACACTAGGTTTTATGTGTAATTTTTCTTTCTCGCTCCGCCGTGTTGTAGAAAATGTACATTTTGTAAATATTGAAATTGTACAGTTTTTAGTAAATTAAAATTAACCGGTGTTCATCATTTATGTTATCGTTGTTAGTTGTTAAATATTATTGTTACAAACTACTTAATTAAATACTGTGTTTGATTAAAAATTTTTGGTTGACAAATGAATTTATTGTTCAAAATAATATACATATACCAAAAAAGAAAATATTTTACATAATACTATTTATTCTTTTAACTTTTATTAGATTTCGTTACCACCTGGATAAATTTGTTACCATCTAGATGATTTTTTTATTTTTCTAAAAATAAAATTAAATGTGCGTAATACGTCACGATTCTGCTTTTAGCGACACTTTGGTTAATCTAAAAAAAAAAAAGAAGGGCAAAAATGATACCTAATTTGTTATTCGTTTTTTCGTTATTAACATCTTTTACTAATTAGTTTTTCTTTTTAGATTAATCGTGACAATGCGTACATTATATAATATACATAGACACCCATTGTTCTGCGAACTTTAAACGTTTTCTCTTGTTTAAATTATTTAGAAAATGTTTTTCATCATCATTCACCCTAACGTACTACAAATAATGGCTAATGAAAATTATTTTGCAATAAAGTTTTAAAACATCAAACAGTGCAGTGATGTTATTATGTACATGTTAAAATTTTTTTTGTAAAGTTTACTTTGTAAATATATAACGCATACTGATAAAAATAAAAATCACCTGTATTGTATTTATTACTAAATATTTCTACCACAACTAATATATCCATCGAGTGTTTCTCAACAAATTTGTACTGTTGTGTTTCTTGATTGTGTAAAAAAATCCGTAAAAACAGTAAGTATCCATTGAATATTTATTATTCTTATTTTTTTTTATTGTCGGCAATGTATTAAATTAAAATACAATTTGTGTCACAAATTACGATGACCAATAAAAATAAATTATTTCGAAGAAATGCGGAAAAGTGATGACAAAGAAAGGGATGATGTCAAGTCTTCTTGGACTCAGGTGTACTTCTAATGATGGCACTTAGCAACTCGGTACCAGCTGCTCCCACCTCACTTTTAATAGCAAAGTTTCTACATAATCAACATTCTGCTCGTTCTTAGTCGTTTGTTATTTTGGCAAATATTTTAATTAATTACTAACAGCCTCTGCTCCCTAAAACTGCCGGGTTCCCTTTTAGGTGTTATTTGAATTTTTAATTGATGGAATGAAAAAAAGAGATGTTCAGATCACTTGCGATATTATACGTCTTTGGAAAATCGGTGGAAATTACCAATACCACATTAACTAGAACCGTAACTCATATAAGAAAATTTATAGTTACGTGTGTCAATTATTTTATTACCTGATCATCTTGCTAAATTCTATTAAAAACGATCGGAAAATCTGTGATAATTGCAAGACAGAACCAAAGACGACTAGTGGTGAAATGAATTAAGTTTACTAATCTATTTCAATTTAGTTATTATATTAAAAAATTTACTAATTATTTATTGAGCTGCAAAAATACATAATTTTTTTCTTGAAAGGTTCTACAGCACTTATAAAGCAGCCGCCCTATTAAATCTATAAGAAATCAAATCTACAAAAGAGAATCCCTAGACAAAAATTTTCAGTCTCTCAGTCTTTCAGAGTCTTTCAGCGTCTCTGAGAGCGTCTCTCAGTTATTGTCTAGGTGTTTTTATGGATCTCTCACAGTCTCTGTATGAGAGACTCGAACGATAAAATTATTAATTCAGAGATTCGAGTCTCTCACAGAGAGACTGAATGAATAAAACTGAAAAATTGAGAGACTCGAGTCTCTCGTAGAAAGACTGGGATCTCTGAAATACAACATATTTCAACAAACTTAGAAAATTTTAACCATGTCTATCGAGTCACCACTTATTGAGAGATTCGAGTCTCTCGTTCAGAGATTGGATACGAAATGGGGATCCCTCTATGAGCGAGTCTAGTCTCTCGTTCAGAGACGCTAAACATTTTTTTTGACAGTCTCTCGACAGTCTCTCTCAGCGACACCAGGGAGCCTCGATGAGAGACGGAGAATCGAGTCTCGCTTTCATAGACTCTGAGAGACTGAACATTTTTATCTCAGGAATTGAATTAATTATATTAATATTTGCCACATTTTATAATGCAGTCGTTTTATTTATGATCTAATAATAAATAATTAAAATTTTGCATAAACATAAATAAATACAGAGTATACGTGTACATACTTATCTAATAAAAAGAAGATTGTTTAGCTACGAGGAAGGTAGCCAACTAAATNTCAATCGGTAAAGTAGTTGACAATTTGTTATCTGGTTTACAACATGTTTCCCATTATATTTTATTAAATTTTATTCTTTAATATCCTTATAAGTAACAGGCTGTAATAGAAGAAGCGATGTTAAAGAAACCGAATGCTATTACCAGTAATCGCATGTTGAAAATGAAAAAAAGTACACAGAATATTAGCAACGCGAAAATCTTTGGAATAGTGTTAGCGGATACTCTGCAACAAAGAATTCTTTCAAAAGGTACCGCTCATCTAAGAAATAAACAAGATAAGTATTTTACGAGCTGCAATCTCCATGCAAAACTATGAAGATAGCAATAAAGCATTAATGACATCAACGACTTCTAAGGAATTTGATTACTTAGATACTTATTATAGATCTCTCATGAATCCTGCGGTGACGGAGTATGATAATTCATTGTCTTTCTCACTCGCTTACTAACTTGCACGCCTGATCGGGCAATCAAACCGAACATTTTACTTTTACGCTGTGAACACATTCTGTACATTGGCTGCCTAACACAATTATAATATCTTGCTAGATATGGTCTGCAGCGCCGCTGGTAGGAAACAAGGACACGATAATGCGGTTATACAGACAAATTGTGAACAATATTTCTTCGTTCTACCTATCTAATAATTGAAGAGGTAACTAATGTGCCTATATTAAACGAAACGTGCATGTACTTTTTGATTGACGTCTGATTCCAACAAATTTGAATGGGTTGTGGAGTCAGTCGGTCGGATTCTTGAAGAAGGAGATAAGTGGATACAGGTCTCTCCGTAACCCTGGACAACGGAAGCAGTTAATCTTCGTCTTGAGGTGATCGTTTAGCGAATCAGTCAAGAATGAATTGCAAGTCGACACTACACTAGCCGTGGGCGTATCTACTAACACTTTCCCATTGGCCAATCACAGCAGGTCACCACTGTCTCTATGGCAACTATCTTATTTGGCCTTTTTACTCTTTGTTTTAAGCAAACTTTTTCCGAAAAGGAATCAATGTGAAATCCCCAAGACCTAAACCTGGACAGCTCATTTATTTCTTAATTGGCTTGAAAAACCTAACGTAACTAATTAGGATTTTTGAGACATCTAACAGGTACATGGGCACTTGACAAAATCACCCTATTTCCAGCCTGTGCCGTAAAACGGAATAGGAGTCAATTTGGCTCGCTCCTCGCTGCAAATATTGCAGCCACATAAGCCCATATCTCCGCATAACTGCTAAACAAGACCATAAAACCGTCTGAGTTCAGCTACTATCATAATTTTTGAACAAAACAGATAAAAAACAATTCAAATAAACATAACACAGGTGGATATATTTATCTTAAAAGATAAATAGGTAAATGTTATACTAATTCATCGCTCTAGCCTGTAGTACCATTATCAGACACTTATAAGACGGTGAGTTGTTTTTGATCATCCACTGTATTAAGTACTCGATAATCAAAATAGAATTTATTTCTTGATGGAATATCAAAAACTAATTGGCGGATTATGGATAAAAAACGTTGCCTTACTTTAACATCCACCCGCAGATGTGTAATTGCTTGTGATCGTTTTATTACCATTTAACATTCGTCAGCAATAGATGTTTGGAATGTAGAATAGAAGTAAAAGGGTATTGTTCAAGTTTGAGATGTTGGACTTGAATGGCGGATAATTACTTATATTTTCTGTAGTAGAGCGATAATGAGAGAAATATAGCCTTTTGAGTACGTGGATCGCGGTTTTATTACCTACCATTCGTATATCATCATCCCCTGCTTCGTATTTGTTACGCAATAATGACAATCAACGACAACGACATCAAATCAGAGCAAATGTTGCAAGGGCCGAGTTAAATGTTGCAGAATTATCTTGACGTTCCTTTTTTCCATTAGCACGCGCATTCAATGGAAAGACTCGTAATGTCGATATGTTTGCGGTCTAGACTGCAGACTTTATCGTACAAATTTCATTTTTAAACTGATACCAGCGAGCACTCTTTCAAATCCAAACAAAGCCACGAATGAAAACTGTCAATCACTGAATAAAGGACTTTACGCGGACTGGAGTCAAAGTTTATCATGATAATGTGTTTCATTTCCTTTTTTAAACTACTTATCTGTAAACATTTTCCAACTGGCAAACGTTTTAATTCAATACATCAGAAATTTGAATTTCATTTCGTCTTCGTACGTAACGCGTTTACACATGTTTAAACATTACTCCTTTATCAGTAAAAACGCCATTGTTTTCATTTCCTTTTAACAGTTTTCATCCCAAATATTATACAGGTATGGCGAAACGTTCACAGAACTTATAGGAATTGCCCTTTTCGTATAGCACTATACATAATTTACTGAAAGTGTGATAGAATATATTTTTTCAACCATCACGTCTATCTGAAAATTACCCTAAATTAACTACATCCTCAAAATATTTCTTACAAAAAGTAACAACCCTTAAAAGCTTTAAATTACACTTATTGAACTTATACTGATTTATTTTTTATGTCATGAAAAGATGACTGAAGGTGTTTGTCCCAACAAATGTTGAAATTTTCTTGTCATGACTTTTAAAGAAAATATTGTCGTAGTGGACAGAGTTATGTAAACACGAAAATTTACCCTTTTTCCAATGCATAAATTAACCTTTTAACGAAAAAATTAGTACAAGATTCGTGAAAGAAGTAAACATATCGAAATAAATTAGTTTGTCTCCATATTCCAACCATGTATAATCCAGACGTAGGAACAAAAAAAACAAATATTCTTGAAGATTAATAAATTAAACTCCTTTCTGATGTTTAAAAAAATCTTAGTAAAACTCTAATATTATTATTTCGGCAGCATGAAAAATGCATATAAGAAATAGAGACACTATATCAGAAAATTTTTATTAAAACTTTTTGGAATTATCGAATTTAAATACTGTATTTGCTAGTGAACTAAATGTCCGATAAAATAAAAAACGTTTTTAAAATAAGAAGTCACTCATTTGAAAAACTAAAAGTGAAAACATTAAAATAGTTGTCAAACAACCCAATGGGGGAAGGGGTTAAGGGGTTCAAACACCCACTCATATAAAATCAAACGTTTTCTTAATAATCGCTATTTTTTTATTTTTATTACTAACAGATAAGAGTTTTTAAAAGTTTCTTTTAGCAAATTTAACAAAAAGTGAAGTGAGTATTAGGTATATTTATAGTCACAAAAGAACATTCAAATAGTATTTTGTTAAGGGTTTTCGTCCTAACACACTCAAAAAAATATTAACAGACGAATTACTTAGGAACATCATCCCGCTTTCCTTAAACACCACTTAAGTTAATTAATTTAGTTCTCACGAGTTATTAGTGCGTTTATTTAGGCGGACAATGCAAAAGTCCTTATTAAGCGAATTCTATATCATTATCGTGTGATAGCAATTTCATGCTTGACGTTACATTGAAAGTATTAAATGGAGGTATTTCCCCTAAATTAGAAGTTGTAAAGTTGCCGATATAAATTGTAGGTGCCTATAGAATTTGCTTTCTTTTTCTTCTTCACTAACGCAAGAAAATGTTCGTTGGATCAAATACCTACAGTTACGAGATCAACAAAAATATACTAAATGATACTCTTAATGGTTTTTGCTGCTAATGGTTCTGCTTTCAGAAATCTTGTTTGAATTTGTTGCTACATTCGCTATTTGGGACATTTTATACAATGATCGATTCCTTCAAATAAACGGATATATTTGAGCATTCACGTGTGCATAGACTTTCTGTAATCATTTGTCAAGGAAATGGTTTTTGCGTCAAATAGGGACAGCGTCACTTTTGATAGATACGGATAATAGGCATATTAATGGGTAAACAGGGCATCCACACTATGGGGGCTAAACAGGGTGATCCCAAAAGTTGTAAAGGAAATCTCAACACTGTTGAAACACTATGGAAAATCACAGACGATTGCTGTTTGATTTCATTTACTGAGAATTAAAAAACTAAATTAAAAGGAAAACATTAAAACAGAACAATTCCGTTTAATCTGTAGGTACGACTATTTCATATTTTTTACTCAAAAGACAAGTTTTATTTCTTTTTTAAGTAAAACTGTTTAAAAATGAAAAAGGTGAGTCAGAGTTTTTAAATGAAGTTTGTATTTATGCAGTTTTCTTTGCATTTATACTATCATGCTTTTGTATAGTGTAATAATTATCCAGACCGAAAAGATTCAAATTTGTGTGATTGTCCGATTATATTTTTGAGTTGACGAAATCACTAACGTACAATATTGTGTTAATGTGACGCAAGCAGGAATCGAGGCGCGAGTGTGTTCAATCTTCAATATTAATTGACCTCCACTTAACATCAATAAAGAAACTCCAACAAGTCTCTATTTTTTGTTCGCCATGTTGTAATTGTCGTTAAACTGTCNCAACATAAAACAAAATATATTTGATATTTATTTTTTAATATTCTTGTAGGTATATATTTTGAACGAAAAGTAAGGTAAATAAAGTAATAAACCAAAATCCGTATAAATTTGAAATAACATCCAAAATAAATTTCAATTTCTAAATTTATGTAAATAACAATTTATAAGAGTTTTGACAAATATTAAGAAACAGAAACAGCGCATGCTCGGGAAGTGTATGACCTAAAGTTAATTGTTACACAGATGGGCAGCCTTAGTGTGTAGTAAAAAAAGTGCACGAAGTCACATAAATATTTGTGTGTGCTTATATTTTAAAGTCTCATATTTTCAGTTTTTGCGTTATGGGTTCCGGTTAGCATTTTATGTGCAATTTAGGAGTTGATTTTTGTTTATCTGACAAAATGACGTTGACCCGGTATCGTTTTAATAATGGCGTTCACTTGCCAACTAGGGATCATAGAAATAAAATATGGAATTAGGTATTTATAAACTGCTTTAAAATAGACTTTAGTTAACTTTTATCAGAAAAAGTGATTAACTAAAAATTTAAAAGTGCTTGTGTGCGATATGCACAGAAAACAAAGTACTGTGATACCTTGAATAAAATGTGATATGTAACATGTGAACAATAACTTTTCTACAAAAGTTATTACTAAATTTGTTGGCGCTGCACCCTTAAGTACTCAAAATTATTTGTGAACGTACTGGAAGAAGCTAACATTCATAATTATTTCATCATAGTTGAACCCCTTCATTTGTATTCAGGTGAGCAGTACCAACACCTCAGTCCTTTACTAACTCAAATGACACCTGCAAATAAATCAGCAGGACATTGTATCTACAAAAGACCATTGTTTAATTAATAGTTAATAATGTTTTTGCAGAACTACATTATATTATTTAATGTAGAATGTAACCCTCTACATTCGGATAATAAATATTATCAGCAATTAGGAATGTGGGTTACATTTCTTCGTTCATAAACTCCTCATTATTAATTTGATATCCCTTATATATAATCAACTTTAAGCATTATTACATCCTCTAAAATTAGTGTATTACTCCTATATATCAACAGCATATCTATTTGTTTTAAGGTAAAAAAGTTGTTTTAACTTCATTCGATGACAACTGAATGCGTGAAAAATAATAAACATTGTAGTTCATATCTGAGTAATTGTCATTATAATAATGTCACTGGTAGGTTAAAATACAAGAATGAAGGTGTTGACTAAATAAAAAATATTTCAGCTGGTAATTGCTGCACAAAACCAACCAAACTCTAGTCTAGTATTTATTTTATAGTTAAAAATGGATCAGAATAAAAAGACTTACAGGCGATATGGTAAGTTAATTTATAGCTATTTCTTTATTATATTGTAATACAATTTTATATTAGGTACAGATAAGGACCGCGAGCGAGAACGAGGTGCAGGAGAAACTCATTCTTCTAGGCATTCCGTTAATTCAAGTTCTGGAGTCTTAATGGTTGGTCCTAATTTTCGTGTAGGAAAAAAAATTGGCTGTGGTAACTTCGGAGAGCTACGCTTAGGTAAGGTTTTACTGAATTCTCAGAAACTATTTAATTCATGAGACACTAAATTCATTCATTATGGTTCACTTATTTATTATAAATGTACACATACTTTAGATAACCATGAGCAATATCTATTTTATTGATAAGCTATTGTGTAGAGTATTCTTATTTAAATATTTTTGAAAAGTAGTAAATATAACAAAATAAATAATTTATTATTTCTGCATGAATTTGCAAAATCAGATACCAATTTTTTTGTATTTATTAAATATTAGGCTAATTTTAATTATAAATTATATTGTATGTTTTAGGCAAAAATTTATATAACAATGAACATGTAGCTATTAAAATGGAACCCATGAAATCCAAAGCACCTCAGCTTCATTTAGAATACCGTTTTTACAAACTCCTTGGCTCACGTGGTAAGTGTATTGTTTTTTTTTTTCTATAATCAACATTCAACTGTGTATTGTTTATTAAATATGTGCCCGAAACAAGTAATACTGAAAGCATGGATCTATTTATCATTGTTTACTAAGTATAACAATTATAGTGCTCATTCAACATAGATAAAACAATGATTTTGTCGTTTATTACTTGTTGAAACAATAAAGTACTTTATTTGCATTTTTCCTTACAAAATCAAAAGTTAGTGTAAACAAATAAATAAATTGTAGCTTTCCAATTACTTGTTATTTTTAAATAATCGTTTTTTAACAATAGAAAAAATAATAGTGTATTTGTAGAGGGAATTCCTGATGTCTACTACTTTGGACCTTGCGGAAAGTATAACGCTTTGGTTATGGAATTGCTTGGTCCAAGCCTTGAGGACCTTTTTGATTTGTGCGAACGTCGCTTCTCTCTGAAAACAGTCCTAATGATTGCCTTACAATTGGTAAAAATCTAATTTAATTGGTAGATGAACTAAATCATTAATGATTTTAACTTTTCTTGCAGCTACATCGTATTGAGTTCGTTCATGCGCGCCATCTAATTTATCGTGATGTGAAACCTGAAAACTTTTTAATTGGCCGTGCTAGTACAAAACGTGAAAAAATTATCCATATTATAGGTATAAGAAAATTGGGAAAGCCCGTTTCTTTACATAATAATCTAAGAGTGGCATTATGTTTTAGATTTTGGATTAGCAAAAGAATATATAGAATTAGAAACTAACAAACATATACCATACAGAGAGCATAAGTCGTTGACTGGAACTGCTAGGTATATGTCGATTAACACTCATTTGGGTAAAGAGCAATCAAGAAGAGACGACCTGGAAGCACTAGGACATATGTTTATGTACTTTCTAAGGGGCTCCCTTCCTTGGCAAGGACTGAAGGTTAAAATATATAATGAGTAGTTTTGGACATAAATAATAGTATTAAACATTTTTGTATTTTAGGCTGATACTTTAAAGGAAAGATACCAAAAAATAGGTGATACAAAGCGTGCGACACCAATCGATGTGCTGTGTGAAGGCCAACCGGAAGAGATGGCTCAGTATCTTCGTTATGTTCGAAGATTAGACTTTTTTGAAACACCCGACTACGAATATCTTCGCAAATTGTTCAGTGATTTGTTGCAAAGGCGCGGCTATGTTGACGACGGAGAATTTGATTGGACGGGAAAAACTATGGTATGTTCAAACTGTATTCTTTTAACCTCCTTTCGAAATTTCAAAGTGCAGAACATGCTTACTTTTTTCTACGAAAATCAACTAAAAGTCTGGCAGGTTACTATAGTAAATTGTTCCCATTCTAGTTCGAGTTTCATATTTTGCTAAAAGTTACTATTACCTACATTACTGTCCCCTTCTATCTACATTGTATAATTTTTGAAATCATAATTGTGATTTTTGTTCATTTGTAAGTGATATGTACAATTTTAGAATTGAAGTGATTGTGAAATTGAAATGCTTATACACAAAATATAAAACTCGATTTAGCCTGCCTGAAGCAAGTTCACCATAAATTGTAATGGTTTTTGTTTTGTTAATTTTTTATATTATTATAATAAAGTATGTATTTGCAGTATTTCTTACAAGTTATTTTAATGTTAGCCTCCAAATTTGGTGGTACTACAGCAAATGAGAAATGCTCCACCTTCGAATATTGTTAAAACAAAATCTGCAAAGGTATAACATCTAAACCGCCAGATGCTTTAACTAGCTCCAACATCCTTTACTAATAATCACAATTTAACTGTCTTCTATTAGTGTTAGAAATCCTTGCACGTTTTATTGATGTATTTAATTAATTACTTTATTACTTATTGTTGTTGTATCACTTTTCTTTTAAGAGTACACCAGTTGGTTCGCTTCAAACAACTGGACATGAAGTCACTATATCCCCTAATAGAGAAAGACATTTAACAAACAAGGTAGTTAAATTTACAATATAATTTTCATGAAAAAATAATTTTGTGTAGGGCTTTATAAATATTGAATTTTATTTTTTTATTTTTTTTTTTGCAGAATACAAATAAACAGAATAATCAATGGCCAGAAGCTTCAAAGCAAAGTACTTTAGGTAACTTAACTCCCGCAGACCGCCATGGTTCGGTTCAAGTTGTTAGTTCTACAAATGGCGAATTGAACACAGATGATCCCACTGCCGGTCATAGCAATACGCCTATTACTCAACCTCAGGAAATCGAATTACTGGACGAAACTAAGTAAGTTACACTAGTTTAATCAAAAAATTTTCGATTAAATTTTTGAAAATACTCTAAAAAAAATACCTATGGTACTAACAAATTTTAAATTGAATTGATTTGCTAGAAAATGCGTTTAAGCAACTTTATTTTGTTAGTTTTATTATTAGTAAATGAAACAACATTCTTAGGTGTATACATTTGTTTCATAATACACTAACACTCAGTGAGGCTCAAAAAAACATATTAGCCGTCCCTCACTGGCTGTAACATTTTCAGTTATTCGATAATGTATAAATTTTGTTTTTCCCTTATTTCATTACTGTCAATAAAATTTTTATTTCGTTTAATAACACTTATACAAGTTTTTCCATTTTTAGAAGTCTAATATACATGTGTCTGTTGTAGCTTTAGAGACTAGTTCCCTTTTGTTTTATCTTATAAACTGTAGATGTTGCAACATCATATTTTTTTTTGACTTAATACATAACACAAACGGCTTTTCATAAAATAAGACGTTTTGTTTTTTTTTGATATATAAGCTAAAGTTTAATTTGCTCACTATATACGGCGCTCTGGCATAAGTAATGCGACATTTTTACCATCAAATGTCTACTATATTTGCATGTTAGGTATTATTTGTTTAATGACTTTCAAATCAGTTCAAGGAACTGTAAATATAGTGTTGATTTAGTATGTTTTTCAGGTGTTGCTGCTTTTTTAAACGAAAGAAGAAAAAAGGAGCGCGAGCAAAATGACTACAGTACAGTGAAACCGACCAGCAACTTATACTTCTACCATGTGGTCAAAGCAGCGCTGCCACCTTGAACTAAAGTTAGTTTTAATAAAGACCAATGTACAGTTCTTGTTATAATTACTTCTAAATCAAATCGTTGTAGTGTAGCTTCTAATTACTTCTATTATTTATAAGGACTTTACAATCTGTTATCCATATCTTGATATGTAAGGCCTTACTCAATTATTATTCCTGGGGCAGCTTTCAATAGAGGAATTGCACGTCACTCCAAACTTTATTTCCAATTTATATTTTGTACTTAAAAACACACTAAACTGTTAATTAACATAATTCATAGACGCCTACATTAATAGAAGGATGAAATAGAAAGGATATAATCTTTTATTTTAATAAGTTTGTAAATATTTTCCCGCGAAAAAATAACGATTTTTCTACGCTATTGGAAATAAATTATGACGATATTTGATCAGTAATAAGTAATTAAAGAACTGTACAGGGTGATTAATTTATAAAAGAAATTCTAAAGGTGATCTCTAGAGAAAACTAAAGCTAGTATCAAATTTGGTTACTAAAAATTGAAAACAAAAATTCATCCGTGCAGTTTTAACGAACTTTTATTTTTACTTTTTAGTATGTAATAAATTCATTGAATTTCAAAAGACGCCTATAATTTATAGAGATGTTTGAAATACAAGAAAACTGTACGTCAAATTTGGTACAGCAGTTCATAAAGAGGGGTATTTTTTTATATAAGTGGTACTTCTATAACATCACCCTGCATACAATTTCCATGTACGTATTTAATATTCGTCGTTTATTATTAAACTATGAAAACGAAATCTAGCTCTATTTTCCAACTTTGGCATTTTTTTGCATTTGCTACGTCGAAACATTTTTTTTTTAATCATTACGACTCAGTTTAACTGAGATTTAACGCATTCATTAACTTTAGTAAATTTGCTTTTAAATAATTTAAACTTGTTTTTATATTATTTTAAGGGCAGTTTCAAATAATAACAGATAAAGTATTGGTTTGGATGATGTAAAATATGTTCAATTCTTCTTGCGGAAGTTGATTTATGTTTGACTGCCTAACATAGTTGTGAGTATTAATACAGTACTTTGGTGCTGTATATAGTTGGTGAAACTGTTTTATGTAAATAAGTTACAGTTTCCACCGAGGCTGTAGTTAGTGTAATTCTGATTCTAAAGTACTTGAAAAACAACTAGAGAACCTGCATTCACAAGTCCAAAATTTGTAAATTAAATTCGAAAACCAATTTTCTCTTTTTTTTTTGTTTTTAATTAGCTAAATTATAGCGATGTATATAAGTCATAGAAGAGTTGTAGATTAAATAAGGTTCATGAAGTTTGCAATGTTTAAGTTGTATGTATATTCAGACTGTTTCGTTTTCATTTTAAAATATTAAGCGTAGGAAAGACAGATTTTTCTTATGAGTTTGTGTAGACTCACTTAAACTGTGTAAAGACGCCGCTCACAGAATTATCTGTTCCTGGGGACTCCACTGTTGTGATTTAGTATTTGTCTAATAAAGTAGTATCATTAATATTGTTCTGTTTGTTATAAAAAAAATTATTTGGTCTCTGCAGGTGGAACTTGTATTGTTACATTTAAACTAAGAATAACAGGATTTAGTAAGAAAGAAGTAGGCACTTGGTATGTAAATAAAAGGTGCATTTGTTAATTCTTCATTTATCAATAGTTACAGTAATTAACGTATTCATAAAAAGTGCATTGGGTTCTCTTCTTTCTCCGCTCGTAGATCTTGTTATTCGAATCAACAAAGCAAAGTACTTTAGGTAACTTAACTCCCGCAGACCGCCATGGTTCGGTTCAAGTTGTTAGTTCTACAAATGGCGAATTGAACACAGATGATCCCACTGCCGGTCATAGCAATACGCCTATTACTCAACCTCAGGAAATCGAATTACTGGACGAAACTAAGTAAGTTACACTAGTTTAATCANGCTCTTTGCAAATTATTGTTGATCTCAAACAAAATCGAGCTGCTTTGTTTCTGAAAAACCTTATGTAAAGACTAGCATTTTGTGGTGATATGTGCATAGTGTTGAGTGATAGCCAAGCTGATTACTTGCAAATGGCTAATTTTAACTTGATAGAATAAAAAGTTGCTTTTTCCATTTCTGTTTCATTTGTTTAAAATAACTGTATATAAAAGTTCCAAACAAATATAAGCCAATAAATAAAATTGTTGTTTTTTTTTTTCAACTTTATACCACTGCATAACAAAAACTTTGAAAAAGTGTTGTTACTTTATTCTTAGTGTGGTTATCGAAAGTGCCCTAATAAAACCAAATCAACTTAATGCGCAACATCTTTAAATTATTTCAATTGAAATATGGAGGTGAGTAAATTGCGTTCTATTTTATTATGTCGTTTAAAATTGTCTTGTACTGTTCACTGATTTTTATTTAAAAATATATACAATCATTATTTGAATTATCAGCAACACACCCCCTTGAATACAATATTTCTTATTGGTGCTCCTTTTTAAAGAACCGTTAAAATGTATTCGCATTCGGCAGGATTCGTGGATTTTCGCACTTTTGATTTCGCGGTTAGTCGTTATGTTGTGTTTTGTAACTATTGCCCCATTTGTTGATGGTTCTAATTAGTATTTTAGTTTTAGTTCTTCAGTATTCAGTTGTAATATAATAGCCTAATGAATTGTTAAACTATTATCCTTGGGTACAATGTTTTGTTAAGTTCGAAAGAGGAGAAAAACTCGGTTTGCAATTAGAAACATACATACATATATATATAATATATACACAGAAGATTTGGAAATGGCGGACACCTCCTCATCTGGGATCGAAGAAAAATATGCTTTTTGCCTCTCGTAAGTTATTCGAAGTGTAATGCTTGTTTTTTTGTGTCCCATTATTACTACTGGTACTAATTTATTGTCATTTAGTTCCAAGAATTTCTTACAATTGTGTGTTACACTGTCAAAATTGCCCTAAAAGGAATCATAATTACAGTTGTATCGTTTTCTTAACAAGGTAATTGATTTAATTTTAAATTTAGATACTTGAACACGAAGAACTGTGCAAGAGGAGGGTATTGTCGTTATGAGCATGCAAATGCTTCAGATGTTCAAGTGACTGTAAAACCTTCTGGTACTACCGAATTTGTATTGGGTTATTACATTACTCGAAAACGAAAAATGGAGTGTCGCTTTTATGCACGAGGCAATTGCCGGAATGGTGCATCTTGTCGATTTTTGCATCAAAACCCAATGACTGCAGACACTAGAGAAACTGCTTCAGTTGACAATTCTTGGTTAAACAAGTAAGTTTATCTTATTGCTATTAAACTTAAGGTTATTTAAAAGTAATAAAGTGTTCTTAATTGTTGTCAAATAGATTACAAGAATGCTTCCTTAAACTTACAGTAATTGTCTGTTGAAATACGTGGTTGTATATTAACATTAATTGCAGATATTCTAGTCAACCTTCTGCTTCGACTAGTGGATCAAAAACAAGTAACAGGTGGGTTATATTGTAAGATTAGCTTAGAACTGTGCAACTTATAAAGAAATTTAATAGTACTTGTCTACTCAATTCCACTTTATTCTGTTTATTATTCCAGTAGTTCCACTGACAATGTCTCAAACTCACCTGTAAATATGGGTTTTGTGAGTAATAATGACCAGGAGGAAACTATGGAAGATCTAGAAAAAAGAAAGGAAAATTGGGTTCATGCTCCTGAATTCGTTCCTAAAGCTAATCAAAAACCTAAGAGCTATGCAGAAGTTGTTAATGCAAATAACCGAATGGAGATAAATCCGGAAGACAGGCAGCTGTGTGTTTTTCTTGAAAAGGAAGGAGTTTGCAAATATCCTCTTGATGAATGTCCTTACATTCATGGTGATATTTGCGATTTCTGTGAGACTGCCGCATTACATCCCTTCAATGAAGAACAAAGAAAGCGACATAGACAGGTAATTTCTTATTAAATATATATTTTTAAAGGATCACAAAATAGTTCTTATTACCAGGAATGTGTTGCTCAACATGAAAAGGACATGGAACTGTCATTTGCAATTGCCCGGTCTAAAAATAAGGCTTGTGGAGTTTGCTTTGAAACTATTATGGAGAAAACAGATAATGAACAACGTTTTGGTATCCTACCCAATTGCAACCATTGCTTCTGTTTAGCTTGCATACGTAAATGGAGGAAAGCACGACAATTTGACAATAGAATCATAAGGTTGCTTACGTTGTTATATAATTTTTATTTACCTATTAATCTTATTTCTTGTTTAGGGCTTGTCCAGAATGCCGTGTAACATCAGATTTTGTCTGCCCAAGTATGTACTGGGTAGAAACCAAAGAAGAAAAAGATAAATTGATTGACAACTACAAGAAGGCCTTAAGTGAAAAAGACTGCAAATATTTTAGGAAGGGCAATGGAAGATGTCCATTTGGTAACAAATGTTTCTACTTACACGCACTGCCTGATGGCACCAAAACTGATGTAGGACCGCCACGACGTCGCGTTGAAAATGTGAGCTTCAGCATGCTGCAAGTAAGATTTTTCGTGCTTATTCAATTGTTCCACATTTTCCATAACTACTTCATTAATCACTGTTTCCACCTGCTATATGTTACTATGTTCTTTCGTTGTAATTATTTTATATTAATTAACAGAAATATACCTAATATTGCTTTTAACTTGTAATTAATTTTTGCTGTTGTAAGGAGTAAAAATAATTAATGTAACCAGCAATACTCGTTCAAAGTAGTATTTCTGGTAAAAATAAGACTATGAATATTTTTTAACGTTGTGATAAGAACGCTTGGTCATTTTCATTATAATTATAATTTTCCACTTATAATTTCCATTCAACAGCATTTGTACTGCCATTTAATAATTTGCTGTTTTTTGTCATTACATTGCATTATTTCATTCCATTCAAAGTATACATATGCTTGACTTCAAAATCAGTATATCAATGTTGTATAACTAATGAAAAATGTACTTAATTTTCCTTTGTGTGGTATTCTTCTTTTTTTAGATTGTCTGATGTGGTAAAAGTGATTATTTCATGTTGTATCAGTAAAAAAATTTTTTGTTTTTAGGAGCTCCCTCCTGAGGTGTTACACTATTTTCACTTGCGTTTCTGTGCACATGCAGAGGCTTAGCGAAATTATTTATGCTTCGTTTATGTTTAAAATCAAAATACTGCTATTGCTTTAAGGGATACATGACATTAGTGTTTTATTCTAAGTTTTAATATTACGGACAGTTTTAAGTAATTTAAAACTAAAATTTTATCTTTACTATTAAATTTTAACAAAAAAATTTGGAAAAGATCAGAGTAAATTATTTAAAGCTGTCCTATGAATTTTTTTGTAAAGGAATTTATTTTTATTTATTGAAAGAATATATTTTAAGTTCTGTTAATAGTTTAGAAAATGAAAAGAAGAAAGTAGCGGAGTTTATAGGTAACATGTTCTTTTGTTCAGGAGATCATTTTATGGGATTTCCTTGATGAAAGGGAGAATCGGTGGTTATATTCCTTAGCCGATGATTTGGAAGATTTGGTCGCGTTCTTCTCCGATTCCGATGATACCGATTGGTCTGATAGTGACGTATTTCTCGAGTAACATCTGGCAGTCAGGTTCGAATTTAATGACTGAAAATTATAACTTATATCATTGTAACACAGTGGGTATAAATACGGAAGAGCATTTTTGAGGGTTTAAATTGATTTGCCTTAAATATTTCATGGTTCTACACAAAGCGTATCATTTTATTTAACGAGAAGCGTGATGTAAAATGTGTTTGTTCACTCAATCAGCGCTAGGTAACAGCAATAACCGCACATAACAACCGCATATTTATTTTATTGTTTGTCTACGTTTCATAAGAAATATTTAGATGCGTATTTTAACACCACTGCATATTTGAACTCTTGGTGATTCTTTCCTTGTGATCCGTCTAAGTGATAAAATTAGGTGTATTTAAATAGATTTTAATTCTGAAAGTCTTAAGCCGGATTCCCGTATTATATATTACACCTTCTGTAGTCCACAAAGCGAAAAATATACTCGAAAAGCTGATTTAGCAAAGTGAGGATATAATGTATATGTGTAGATGAAATAGGGAGANAACTCCGCCTCCTCATATTCCTTATACATTTTACTGTTCACTGGTATAATTTTGAGACTTTTGGAATTCACTGTTTGTCGGTATTTAAAAATTATTGTTATTTCAGTGATATATAAACGGTAAAGTGATTGATAAACAAACTCATTTGAAACAAAGAAACTTTTATTGGAGCCAGTTTTTATAAGCAAGTAAATTTTGAACTCTACAAGTTTCTCCAATTGTTTCGGAAATTGATGTATTAGCCGTTCTTTCTTTTTTTAATTTCGACAAAGTTATCTGCAACATCTTCATGAAATTAAACAGTTAATGGGTTTTCAATTATTTATTTTACACAGGGTCAACTGTGGGGAATCAAAAGGAGAAATTTTTCGCATAATTTGCTTGCTTAAATCCTCAAGTCACTACTTACATACTTGTTCTGAATTGAAATAACGTAAATCGTATAAAATAGATGTGCCTCAGTGTTGAAAATATCAATATTTGAGTGTGCTTTATTTGTAAGTAGTACTTGTTTAGTACCTGTCGTTCTTGTTACACATACTTGTGTTGAATTTTGTAAAGAAAAAAAATATCTGCGTTACTCCTCCAACATCTGTATGTTAAAATTTTTAAAAGTCCACTATATACTAAGTTACCTAATTTACATTGTCTTACACAAGTATGTTGCTTTACTAGTGTTTTTTCTCACTTGTTATTTTTTGTACTTACTTTATATGTCTAAATACAGTTTTGAATTTTCTCTCAATTTCATTCCTTCATGACCTTTTAAACAACCCATTAAGTAATGATTTCTGTAAATATAAGAACATATGCTGTATTTCAATAAAGTTCTTTCTCCTGGCTGTACTGCTGTGGAATTCTTTCCATTTTTTTTTCGGACTGAAGGTGGCATCGGGGTGAACGACGAAACATATGAAAGAACACAGCAAAACAGTGCGGGAAAAAGTACATAATTACATTTTTTTTAATCAAATCGGCGCGTTTTGTTTCTGTATACAATGTGTGTAAATAATTAAAGTGGTTTACTAATTACAATAGACAGAGATCAACGACACGCTTATCCTTTTCTATTATTTTAAACAGTTGTGCAAGGATTGAAAAGTGTACAAATACAAAATAAACTGAAAAAAATATGTTTTACACGACGCCACTGATATATTTGTCACATGTAGGAACACGTACATTTTTTCTACTTAGGTACTTCATAATTTTTTAATATAAATTTGTAATACATATTTATGACAATAACTTCTATCTATATCAACGAATTTGACAGTTGATTGCTGTAATAAGTGCTTTTAATTTTTAGCTTACTAACTATATACTACAGTACTTTTAAAATAAAATTCTAGAAGGTTTTAGAACATTTGTTAATTTATTCAAGAATTATTAATAATGTTATATATAAGAGAAGTAAATATACCGTAAATAATTTTAATGCAAAGAAAGTTGTATGGATTTATTGAAGTGATAGATTTGTACACGACTCGTTCCTTGGCTTAAACATTTTACAGATGTGCAGCAATTATGTAAGTATAGACAAATAATGTGTCTAAATTACTGGCGTAAATATAAAAGATATAAATAAACTGCAAAGCAGATATTAAAAAAATTGATTCGCTATATTACTGGTAAATGTATTTAGTGTACACAATTAATTATCTTAGTATTTTTTTATGCGCATACAATTAACAATACACTTATTTCGAAATATTTCACCTCATTAAGTTAATACAAATACTAATGTTTACTTAATTACATCTATATTTAAGCATTCATTTTTATTTATTCTGTGTTTTGATTAACATATGAAAATATATTTAAAATAAAATATGGTGCATGTAGATTTAAATTTCCCGCTAGATCTAAACTTTTCAAACGTGTTTCAAGATTCGAGGTTGGCAAGTCAATGAATGTAGAAAATTGGCGATTGAAAATCAGACGAAAACATAATGAATTGTAAATCCTTATTAGTATATTTATCTGATATATAACCTTTTAATTACTGGTCTTTATTGTTTTATTATTGTTAACTAATGTGATGTGTTTCTATGTCAAAACACAATAGAAATTCGGAGGACTTGAGTCCTGTTTCTCTAACAAGATATAGTGAATTTTCCGGGGTGAAACGAAAACGAGATACTTTGGAAATTGATGAAAATATGAGTGACAATTCTAGCGATTTTTCCAAAAGGGCAAATTTCTCAGCTATAACATCAAATGGAATCAACCGTAACCTCAATATTCTCAACTTGAAACCTACCACCACCAAGAAAATTGTCATTAAAAATCTAAAAAGTGAGTAGTCTTGTATATTTGTGGTTTGTATTAATATTACACATAAAGGCAGTTTTTTGTATGTAGAAAATATTCAACATAGCTTTCGTTGATGTGTGTATTCTTTAAGAGCAGTCCATATCGGTTTGTTACCTAGCTTAAGAAACAATTACAATGTTTTATGTAATTGTCTGAAGTTATATTTTAATTCACTTTAAGTAGAAGCATTATTTATATCTTTTTATCAGAAACTAAATATTGAATACATATATGCCCTCATAAAAAAGACAGGATGCTTTTGGTGTATACCACAGACTTAATTATTAGGTCAATTTTGTAGATGATTGTATTATGTAGACCTTCTTCTCTACCAATATTTACTGCTCGGGTAAAAATTGTTAACATATACTTATCGAGTTGCTGTAGTAATTGAGATAATAAAATTTAATCAGAATTCATTATGAGCAGAGAAAAGAAATAATGTTCATAACATTTATTTTTGTTGTCAGTAATGATAAAAGTGTGTTCATTATTGAAGAAATATTTTCCCATTAGAGAGTATTAATTAAGAGAGAACTTTAATTGTAGGTGAACCTAAATTACCAGATGATTTTCGAGAGCAAACATGGGGTAAACTACAGGAAGCTGTTCTAGCTATACAAAATTCCAGAGCTAATGAATATTCTCTTGAAGAGTTATATAAAGCTGTAGAAAACATGTGCATTCATAACATGGCTCACACACTTTACAATAATTTACATGTTTTAATAGATAATCATGTTCGAAGAAATATAGAACAATTTCTAGCAGAATCAATGGATCGGTTTCTTTTCTTAAAAAAAATGAATGAGACATGGCAAGCACACTGTAGACAGATGATAATGATAAGAAATATTTTCCTGTGTCTGGATAGAACATATGTTTTACATAATGCTCAAATTGCTTCTATATGGGATATGGGCCTAGAATTATTTCGTCAGTACATAATGGCAAATACTTTAGTACAGACTAGAATAGTTGAAGGCTTACTAATGTTAATAGAAAAAGAAAGACAAGGTGATACTGTGGATCGCACTTTACTTAAATCTCTTTTAAGAATGCTAACTGATCTTCAGATTTATGAGAAAGCCTTCGAAGAGAAGTTCCTTGTAGCTACTGAAAGATTATATGCTGCTGAGGGTCAACGTCTAATGCAAGAATTAGACGTACCTGACTATCTCGCTCACGTTGATAAAAGGTTAATAGAAGAAAACGAACGCGTTTATCATTATTTAGATGCTAATACAAAACCGCGACTTATTCATACTGTTGAAAAACAACTTTTAACAGACCATGTTACCAATATTCTTCAAAAAGGATTGGATGGATTGCTAGAAGAAAATCGCCTTAATGATTTGAGTCTTTTATATTCTCTCTTTGGTCGTGTTAAAAATGGCCACACAGAACTTTGTACAGCTTTCAATTTGTATATTAAAAAACGTGGTCGCACTATTGTTATCGATCCTGAAAAGGATAAAACTATGGTACAAGAATTGTTAGACTTTAAGGATGCCATGGATAATATCGTCGCTACCTGTTTTAACAAAAACGAAAAGTTTAGTAACTCTCTAAAGGAAGCCTTTGAAAACTTCATTAATCAAAGAACAAATAAACCTGCAGAATTGATAGGTAAGCCTTGTACCTCATTTAGAAATATATAAATGAAATGTTTGGTTTCATGCAAATTATAATGTACCTGTTATTTTATTTAGCAAAATTCGTCGACTCCAAACTTCGTGCAGGTAACAAGGAAGCTACAGAAGAAGAATTGGAAAGATTATTGGATAAAATAATGGTGTTGTTTCGATTTATTCATGGAAAAGACGTGTTTGAGGCGTTTTACAAAAAAGACCTTGCAAAACGTCTACTTGTTGGTAAATCAGCCAGTGTGGATGCTGAAAAGAGTATGCTTAGTAAACTTAAACAAGAATGTGGAGGAGGATTTACATCAAAACTGGAAGGAATGTTCAAAGATATGGAACTTAGCAAAGATATTAATGTGGCTTTTAAGCAACATCTTTCAAACACTAGTCAAGAATTAAGTGCTATTGACATGACCGTCAATATTCTGACGATGGGATATTGGCCGAATTATCCCCTTATGAACGTTGTCTTACCTGAAGAAATGGTAAAATTTCAGGAAATATTTAGTAAATTTTACCTCAGCAAACACAGCGGTCGTAAATTAACATGGCAGCCCACTCTGGGCCACTGTGTTCTTCGAGCTAAATTTAAACTTGGAATGAAAGAACTTGTCGTATCTTTATTTCAATCGTTAGTGTTACTGCTGTTTAATTCTCATGATGAATTATCATTTGACTACATAAAAGGGGCGACGAATATTGAAGACGGAGAATTAAGAAGAACTTTGCAATCATTAGCGTGTGGCAGAGCTCGCGTTTTAAACAAAATACCTAAAGGAAGAGACGTGGAAGATAATGACAAATTCAGATTTAATAACGACTTTGTGAATAAACTTTTCCGTATCAAAATAAACCAAATTCAAATGAAAGAAACGGTAAAACACAAACATTTTATTGTTGTAATTTCTTTTAATACATGTATATTTCTAGACTGAAGAACAAAAGGCAACTGAAGAGAGGGTATTCCAGGACAGGCAGTACCAAATTGATGCAGCTATTGTGAGAATAATGAAAATGCGCAAAACGCTTAGTCATAATCTATTAATTAGTGAATTATATTTACAACTCAAATTCCCTGTTAAGGTGAGTAAAATAAAACCATTTTATTTTGAATCCCAAATTAATATATTCTATTCTATTTCAAGGAACCTTAAATTTTAAAATAGTAATAACTACAAATTTTTCTTAAAAATGAAAATAATCTAGACCCAATGTAGTTAATACCTGTTAGCATTTAATTAATTTTACATAAGTGCTGTTGGTTTATCAGAATTATTTAGATATAACTTATTTTTTTGCTGTTTGATAAATATTTTTATTTTGCAGTCAGCAGATATGAAATATCTGTTAATAGTTAATTAATCTTACATAGTGCTGCTTTATCAGAATTATTTAGATAGACTTATTTTTTTGCGGTTTGATATCTATTTTTATTTTACAGCCAGCAGATTTGAAGAAAAGGATAGAATCTCTTATCGACCGAGATTACATGGAGCGCGATAAAGACAATCCAAACCATTACAACTATGTGGCTTAAGCGAGATATTTTTGCTGTTTTCATTTTTTCTTTTCATATTATTAACATGTGCTAACTATAATTGACTTTAATTGTTTTAACTGCAGTGGCACACCGTCTAAAAGGAACGCGGTTCTAGTCCGTAAGGCGAAAAAAAAACTGAAACAAAGTAGGGCTAAACTGTTGTTACGGTCTGCTCAGTTCTTATATCTACACTTGTACATAAAACAAAATTCTTTAACTAAATGAAATAACAGGAGTAGATTTGCTTCTTACCTTTGAAAATTGAGAAAATTTCATCAACTTGATGCTTGAACCACGATTTGGCGATTAGCTGAGTAATTTGTAAATACTATAGATACTTTATCCTTTTAAATTATACATTATGTTCTTCGTTTCTGTAAAAAGTATTTTTTAGTTACAACAACGAAGAGTCCAATAAAAATTACTTTTTAAGTTATGTTTATTTTTCATCTGAAATCCATAGTNTACTATAGATACTTTATCCTTTTAAATTATACATTATGTTCTTCGTTTCTGTAAAAAGTATTTTTTAGTTACAACAACGAAGAGTCCAATAAAAATTACTTTTTAAGTTATGTTTATTTTTCATCTGAAATCCATAGTATGCTATATATATGTATATTTATAATTAAGATCCATTTTAATAATATTGCATTTTAATGTAAATAGTTGTCAGAAAAGGTTAATTCTTATTTCTCAATTTTAAATTAGCGGTCTCTTGAAGTAATCCACACATGATCGCTCTGATGATCAGCAGCTATGACATTTTAAGTTGTGAATGGATACTCTGTGGTATGGTTTTAATGGTCTATGGTTTAATGGTGGTCTAGAATCTATGTTTAGTATTTATTTAGTTTTAGTTTAGTCCATATAAAAATAATTGGTGATAAAGTGGTGGTTTCGAGTTGTTTCTTAATTATTAAATCATTTTGTTACTAAGGACACGTTAATAATTACAGTGTAATAAGAACTTCCTATACAATATAGTTACATAATGTAATGTTTTGACTACTGAGAAAAACAAATGTAACCACAAAAACGAAAGCTGGAAAAATTGCTACAGTTGTTCCAATTAACTAATGAAGCGCTCATCGTCATATTTTACGAAAGTAATATTCTTAGGTTTTCGTTATTCTGTTAAATAAGTTATGTGAAGTTCAAGAAACATATTCTATCAACATTGCAGTGTTACAACAAATATAGTAAAATGAGGTTCAACGACAAAGAATTAGCTAAATTAAGTGAAAGCAAGGGTGAAATGGAAGGAGTCCTACACCACTTAAAGCCATCGGAAAACGAATGGTCAGATTGGTATCAGCAGCCCTATTTTAAGGAACGGTTTTTTAAGCTAGTGTCAAATTTACTTTTTTACTTTCGTGTTAATGAGCAGGAGCCAATAGGTATCCTTGTGTTAGAAAACGTTCAAGTTGCGTATGAGAGACCACATAAAGGTATTTCCTTTGCATTTTCACTTACTTTTAAAACAGGTGACAAAAGTAAAATAATTGATCAAAAGCATATATTCTCCTGTCGTTGTGATGAAGATGTTAATAAATGGGTTTGTGCTTTAAAGGTTGCCTCTTATGAACATTGGAGGTCACAATTGATAATATTAAAAACCAAAATACACATGCGAACTGGACAAGACCCAATCTTAGATTATTTAAAACAGGAAACAAAGAATTCAAGCAAAAATCACTTTAAAACAGTTTGTGCCAAAAGCTCATTTCAGAGTCATATTGAAACAAAACTTTTTACTGATGCTAATGGTGAAATAGAAACTGTTACAACTACTCAAAAAATTTCCAAGAATTGTATATCAAACAAAAGTGTCCTAGTTGGAAAACTGGTGGACATTTAATGCAAAGTAACTGTTTGCTTACTATAATTTAATTTAAAAAATGTAATTTATTTTTATGTACTATACTAATCTATTTATCTGAATAGATAAATATGATCTCATAATGTCTAAGAAAACAACATTTTGCTAGTCAATTCTTTTAATTCTTATTTTGCCCAACTGACTTGTCCATTCTAGTATTAAAATGAATATTTTGTGGTAAAGCTTTACTAAACACTTGTAATATAAAACAAATATTTTGTTACCAATATAAGTACTGGAGAGTTTCTCTATTAAAGTTTCTTTTGATATGAATATTTTAGTTTCTACAAAGCAATATTTTTATGCATACATTAACAATTGCAATATTCCAACTAGATACATAAATGAATAAACTTATTTCTAGTATCATATTTATCATTAAAACAAGAGAACAAATTAAAAAGTAATACATTTTCGTTAAATAAATATAAATAAGTTTAAAGTGATTTCATTTTAGCCATTAAATCATCTAAACTTGTTTCTATTTTATCAGTTGTTTCAGTTTCACTTATAGGACTGCTTGCTTCATATTCATATTTTATTCCTTTACATTCTAAAATACTTAGTTTACTTTCAGCATCTTCATTTTCATCTATAAGAGAAATTCCCCATTCATTTTCTTCATGTAGTGGTTTTTCTTCCTCTGTTCTGACTTCAACTACGACTTTAGGTCTAGCAGCTTCTTCTTTCTGTCTCAACCGACAATTGATATCTTCACAGTTGGGGTTTGGTTTTAAAGACATGGTTGGAAAAAAATCATTCAAGGCATTGTAACCTAAGTAACTGGACACTTCACCAAACTTTAATAAAAATTTCAGAGTATTTTGTACAAGAAAACCTGCAACTATACCCATTGTGGTTGGTAAGCTAGCAGCACATACCCCATCCTTCTTAAGTGTTTTCTCATCAATACTTGATGCAACAACTAATGGAGGGGCACACTAAAAAAATTGTTTACTTTCAAAAATTTAATTTATAGAGTTTATTGATTAATGAAAATAAGACTTACAGCAAAACATGCAGTTTGCCCAGGAATAATAAATTGTATATGCCCAGACACAGCATTTTCCGAAACCCCAGATTCAAACCACTTCTGATTTATTTCATTACAAACAGTGTTGATGGTATATCTAGCTTCAAAATTATCAACACAGCTCAGAACCAAATCAACAGGGCCTCCATTTAAAGAACCTTTTCTAATTAAAATTTTTGAAAATTACATTCCCAAAAATATTAAGATTAGTTAATACACTTACGTAATTGTATCAACAAAGTGTTGGAAATTATCTATTAGTGTAATGTTATAATTATGAGTTTCAATAGTAACATCTGGATTGATAGCCTGTAATGTTTCAGCAGCAGCATTAACTTTACTCAAACCTGACTGATGTGGTTGGAAAAATAGACGATTCATGTTTGCTAACTCTACTTTATCATAATCAAATAAAATCAACTTTCCAATACCACATCTTGTCAACATTTCTGCTGTTACACTGCCAACACCTCCAACTCCAACAACAGCAATTGTAAATGTCCGAATATTTTCATAATTTTGGACAATGCCCATTCTCTTTAAGGCCATTAATCGACTATATAAATAATAAAGAATATAACAATTTTAAAGACATTTAACTACATTTTCCCTACCTGTAGGGGTTAGAATCTGTCACTTCTGAAGACATTACTTCAATTTTATCTCTTTTTGGTGTTGAGACTTTTAGATTTTCAACGGCATTTTTTAATTCACTCATTATTGTTAGAAGTTCTTTAAATCAAAACCTTTTGTCAATTATTTTGTTTTATTTAAATAACAAAACTGATATATTGGCATATGGATTTCAAACGACTATATAAAATACCATAGACACGAACATAGAGCAACATAGATATGACTGACAGCTAAAAGAAAACATTCGACTAAATTGATCATAGATACACTTATTAATAGTTTGTGTAGGACGTATTCATTTGATTTGATGTTCAAATGATGTTAGAGTAAGAGCGCAATCACATATTTGAGTATTTTTTTGTTTGTAAATTTTCCATAAATTAATTTGTATCATTTTATGTAGTACAAGTGTTACGCTTGTGCGTTATTAACTTGGGTAAATTGCTTTAATTAAACACAATAATTAGCACGTGGAATTTTTATTACTGTCAGAAACATTCAATAAACATTCAACAGTTTTAGGTATGTTTTACTATATACTTTATCAATAACTGATAAAAGGTAAATTTATAATAACAATAAAATACAAGATATACAAAAAAAGAAAAGTATATGGGTTGCGAGCGTTAAAACTTTTCTTTAATATATATTAAGCAAGATTAAGTGCTCGCATTTCTTTTAAAAGTACACTACCCATCTGAGCTGGCGACTTTGTGACCTTTACTCCAGCCTAAAAACAAACTTATCTGTAATAAACAACTAAAAGTATTTGAAAAAACATTTATGTTAAGAAAGTTAGATAGATAGATAGCTACCTAGAATGCACTATTATTATTAAACTACAAATAAAGAGATTATAACATTTAGGAAATTGCAATTATTTACTTATAAATTTTTCACTTAATTAGTTTTTGATAGTACTGCAGAATTTGATACAGAAATCAAAATAAAAAATCTCAAAAGACGTAATGTTTTTATACCTTTTCAAGAGCATTTATCTTATCTTGTGCTCCTCCCTTTCCTCCAGAAATAATGGCACCGGCGTGACCCATACGACGGCCTGGTGGGGCCGATAAGCCGGCGATAAATGACACCACAGGCTTTGCATTAGGACCCTGAAATAACATGAAAAAACATTTTTTTTATTATTCCTTAAGATGTTCACATAAATTTTATTTATATATTCAGAAATGAAACGTACTGAATTATTTTTTATCAGAAAATCTGCAGCTTGTTCTTCTGCAACACCACCAATTTCTCCAATAAGAATAATTCCTTTAGTATCTGGGTCTTTAAGAAATACATCTAAGCAGTCAATAAAGTCTGTACCATTAAAAGGATCACCTCCAATACCAACACATAATGTTTGACCTAAACCAACTTGGGTTGTTTGGTGTACAGCCTCANTTATTTTGAAGCGCTATTTCCAAAGTGGAAGCAATAAATGTGTATTGTGTAGTGGTTAAATGAAAATTGTGAATGATTCCCAATTGTCCATTGCATCTTGTGCAATTTCGTGTTAATGGAGCTGAATTTTAACTTTATATACTACTTATTATTATTAGAAATGTTTAATTCAAAATTTAGTCACATCTTAGTAAACTGAGTCAGGATAAGGGGCAACTTTATTAATAAATCTCATTTGATTCACATCGATTTGTTACTACAGATGAGAAGATTTCGTCAAACAGAACGCAGGGAGGATCTGAGAACATTTCCAGTTCAGCAAAGGATGAAGAGAAGATGAAGGAGAAATTGGAAAATGAATCTAGGTTGGTTTTCAACAGTTGTATTTCCATTTGTCAACACATTTGCACCTGAAAGTTTTTAATAACTCATCACTTAACATGCTGCTGATTATACCTTCCCCTAATTATACCTGTTTTGTGGGTCTACTGCTGTTTGATTTGGCTCAAGGCAAATTACATCAATTAATCCATACGAGGCACATCAGTCAGTTGACCACCATCAGAACCTTCAAGACCATTTCAGTGATTAATAATTAGCAGGAGTTTAGTGAAGGAAGAACTTCACACATAGAAGATGATATTCCTTCGGTGTCTTCTATTAAAAAATTCTTTACAAGCAGTTTTTTTGATGAGTATTATGAATATTACAAAAGCATAGAAACAGGAAGGTATCAGGAAAACCAGGTAGTATGTGATAACTTCATATCTATCAGATTATCCAAAAGGATTCTTTAAACATCAGTATTTGCTAGTGTGGATTGAACAAAAGCCATGTTTTCAGTTCTTTAAACACATCTCCCAGCAAATGGTCTCCAACGTGAAAATTAGGATTGTAACCCACATTATGTTACCTGCATTACAAAAATATATGTCTTAGGTTTAAGTTAGTTTTTTGGTGTAATTGAAAATGTTTTACTTGTTTTTCAAAATAATTTACTCTTCTAACTCTGAATAAGTTTAACATCCAACGCAATTTTATTCTTCCTGTATATTGTACAGAGTATTACAGAAGTTGTCTTAAAATAATTTTACCCATAAATATATGTTTTACTTAAGTAAGTAAAATATTATATTGGCATTTAAAGGCTGTGTTCCTTACATTGAAATATTTGTAGAGGATGCTCTTATAATTTATTTAAAAAGCATTACTTTTTAAGAATGCAACTTCTGTTTCAATTTTGTTTCTGTTAATTTTATGAAAATATTACAATAATATTGTTTTTGCAATCTACTGAATTTTCAAAGATTTTCTGAATTTAAAAAGTCTGTTTTTATTGTAAGTAAAAATTGTGTTATTTTAATTTTTTCATTATTTAAAAAAAATTATTGGAGAATTTGGAGATTTACAGCATTAGTATAATTTCTATTGTTTAGTAATTATTCAACTAAATTAATAGATCAAGAGTTCTGCTTGATATTCAGCATACTTATGATGTAATCGTCACGCACTTCCTACAGAATGTTGTTTTTTATAGCACCACTAAACAAAAGCCAGGAGCAAAGCAGGCACCTACTAAAAGTCGAAATCTTTGGATAACTAACATTTCCCAGAACACCAGAGCTACAGAACTAAAACAAGCATTGTCCGAGTATGGCAAGGTAATCGGTGCCAAAGTCGTCATAAATGCCAAATATCCAGGAGCTTGCTGTTACGGATATGTAACTATGGAGACTGCAGAGGATGCTGATAACTGTATCGCAAAATTGAACAACACCGAACTTAACGGACAAATAATAAAAATTGAAAAGGTTGTTAACGTTGAAAACATGATTTGTTTTTATGGAGTTTATATACGGTGTTATTAGGTACGAACTGATCATATGAACATGAAGACTAAACAGAAGTCAGATAAGGAGGAAGGCAAAACCAAATCTAATCAGGATGAAAGTGAAAAGAATAAGAAAGATGAAGATGGAAAAAAAGATGCAAAAGAAGACAAGGAAAAGGATAAGGATGGAAAAGAAGTAAATGAGAAACATTCCTTAGAGAAAAAAGACTCGAAGAGAAGCGACAGTAAAAAACCTGAAAGTTTATCAGGAAAATCTGATCATAAGAAGGTATAAACCCAAGAAACAATCGTAATAGGTCTTCAACTTTTGTTTACGTTGCAATGTTTTTTCATTTCAAGGTTTAATTGTTTAAGTAAATACTTTTCTATATCAATTGCTTTAAGTAGAAGGTTTATATTTCCGAAATTTCCGCAGTATTTTACCATGTTTTTCTATTTTAACTATTGCTTCAAATATTAATGCAATTTTCTTAAATGCGAAACATTATGCTTATATGATTATAACAATTTCTAGAGATCACACAGCTATGATCGACATCGTCATCATGAAAAAGAACAACACGGGAAGGAGCGTAGAAAGTCTCGTTCTAAGTCCCGGGGGGACCGCAGTCTTTCATCAAAATCTAAAGCCAGATCTGATAAGGAACGGGATATGCTTACTTTCGATAAAATTAAGGTTAAACAAAAGTAGTTTTAAACTGAAAAAGTATGTAATTAATCGTCTTATGTGCAGGAAGAGCGTGAAAGGCAAAGATTACGAGAAAAAGAACGAATTCTTCGTGAAGAATCTCGAAGAAGACGCGAAGAAGCTTTACGGCAGAGGGAGATTGAGAGACAGCAACGTTCAGAAGCAGCAAGACTGGAAAGGGAAAGGGAAAAATTGAGAATTGAAAGAGAGAAACTGGAACGAGAAAAGGCCGAAATTATTAGATTGGAGAGAGAGAGACAAAAATTGGAGAGGGAAAAGCTTGAGTTAGAAAAGTTAGAATTGCAAAGAGCTAAAATGCGCCTTCAAGAAGAAGATAGAAGACCCGTTAAACGTGCTGCACCATACCGAGATGATCCCTACGACGAACGGAAAAGAATAACTAACGATAGACGTTATGAGGAAGCTCCACCAGCACCAAGGTATGTGAACATGAAAAGGTGTCGATAGGATGTGCATTTTATCACAATCTTTTATTTACCTTGCATTGTTTGTATATATAATATGTATACGTTTTTCCGTTTCAAAATTTGTAATTATGATAATCGTCATGTTAAGGAATATGGTACTGTATCCTTATAGGTATGAAGCACCATCTACTATTAAAGCTCCTTCGCCTCCTAGGAAAATAGTTCCATCGAAGGAATACAAATCCCGAGGTAATTATGAAAAGCATGATTCCTATTCAAAAAGAGATCGGGAATATGATACAGATCGGTCTCATGCGTCGTCCATGTCTCGAGGTCCTCCTCCTCCAACTGCTATCACAAAATACGAGGGTAGTTCCGTATTTAATATTAGCCGTGAAAGGGACGTTAGAGAAGCTCGTTCCCGTGAGAGCAACTCCAATGCCGCACCCAGTGGCAGATATGACCGAGATAGAGACAGAAGTCCACACTACAGAGTTCGAGATGACAGAGATAGACGTGCCGTCCCAGATCACAAGAGTGACGTTCGATCTAGGGATCATCGTTATGATGCGGCCCCAAAAGGTACATTCATTGTATTATTTGAAAATAAAAATTGTCTTCGTATAATTTATATAAACCCATTGAAATTAAAATTTTGGTTTTAGATACTGGAAGATTTGAAGGAAGAGGAGGAAACAACTGGCCGCATCCGGGTACGCCTTCTGGTAAACCATTTACTTCTAATTCAACAGGTGGAACTAGTTCCGGTAAATCTTGGAATAAAGATAGCTGGAGATCTTCCGATTCTTCTGGTCAAGACAGGTTAGTTGTTCAGTACGATATAAAAACTATTTCAACGGGTATAACTGTTTTTGTAGATGGAATTCGAGCAATACTACCAGAACATCAGGTTCCCTGTCCTCTGGAGCATTCTCTAATAGCTCTAACATGAATATGACCCCTTCCTGTCCTCCGCCTCCAGGAATAAATAATTATTCATCTGATAGATTTGATTACAAATCTATGAGTGGGATGAGAAAATATTAAATAATTCGATAGTGAAATTACTGCTTTTTAAAATATATAATTTTTAATTATACTACAATAAGTTATTGTACATTTTAACAATTTACTGATTAGTAAGAAATTTCGCTATTGATTGACCCATGTATACACACTCACACACCCATATTGCAATTTAGTAGTGTAAAAAATTTTGTAATTTTTACCACAAATGCAGTTTCTATTTAATTATGAAGAACGCTGGTGTATTATTTATTGCACATCATTTAATGATTAATAGAATATTGGTTATATTTTGACTGAAATATCCTATCATATAAAACTAGACGTTGGACGTTATTGTCTAATTATCTAATATACAATGAAATTTTCTTTTTGTTTAATAAAAATTCAGTTTATTGTAAATTGCTATTTGTTTCAGGTGGTCGGTATGGAATTAAACGTTTCTTGAATCGTATTCTGTTTCTTTTATTTCACAGCGTCGAAAGCGAAAAAAAAGATGTAAAATTACTTTAGTGTCTTAGATTGTAGGTGAAATTACTTAAATTCAAGTAGGTTTATTATTTTTGTTAAACCATTATATGTAGGCTAACAATTCTTGAATTGTATTAAGAATGTAACTTTAAGATGACAATTTTAGTATAAATAAAAAATACACGATCTTATAAACATTTATTTTATTTCTTGTAACTTTTAATAGTTATAGGTTTTAGAATTTGTTTAAAGATCATACTTTTAGTTGTCAATTCATATAAGTATTGTTTTGGAATACANTGAAAGTTGGCAAAAACTGTTACAAAGCGCCTTGGCAAAAATAATCGACTTGGCAAAAACTGGAAGTGATGAAAATAAATTAGACGAAGTAACAATAATGATGGCTATTGCCGTTTTTGTTCTTCATGCTCCTTCTTCTGTGGTTACCGCTCCCAATTTATTATACCCATGTATTAATCATTTTCGGCAGTGTTTCCAAAATTCTAACGTCAATGTAAGTTAATTAATTTAATTAATCGTTTTTTTTTTTTTTTATATTTTGGATTTATCATTTTTTTGTTATTGCAGGTCCGTTTGAAGTGTGTTCAGACTTTAAAATCATATATATACAAATTGTTAATTATTTGTACTTAGAATTGATTTAGTAGTTTTAAAGAAAGAAAATTAGTAATGTTTTAAAGATGTTTGGATTATAATTTAAAATAATATGTTTAAGATAATAAAACATGATATAAAATCAAAGCATATACTATACCATGTTATTTGGAACGTTAGACGTGAAAATGCGATTTAAGAACGTGTCAAAATAGCATTCTTTAAATAGCGACCTAGTAGCAGTATTAAAGTTAATTGTCAAAAACGATAATGATTTCTTGAGAAAATGTGGTCAGTTCTTTTAAGTGTTGTTAAATAAAATTTTACTTATTGCGTCAAATGTAAGTTCTTTTAATGCTCTTTATCGATTACTGTACCTACATCAGAAATGAAAAATAGTAATGTGAGTAATTAAGTTTATCTACCTCATGAATGTTTTCTAGTTTATGTTTACATAAAAAGTTGAATATTAATTATGTAGACAACTTGATCTTCACAGCTATTTATGTCGTTGATAAAGTAAATTTTTCATTAATACCTTTAAATAATAATAAAATGACTGATCTATTATAATTATGTACAATGTATTTACAATATTAATTAGGGACTGTAAGTTATGCTGTTCATAATGTGATTGTTATTCAAAATTAGTTTGATTCGGTTACCACGAAATGTTTTCTCAATGTTAATTAACATCTATATAGTTATAGTATGATATTCGTTATTAACAAAAATGATAAAATATTAATTATAGGGCCAAAGTAGACACATATCTTAAAATGGAATTATCACACAGTCTCATCTTAAATGAAGATGCTCTTAAGCAAATTCCAGCTGCTAAGAAAACTGTTTTCATTTTTGAATGGCTTAGATATCTAGATAAAGTGTTAATTGCTGCCCAGAAAGTGAGTAAAATAATTTTATTATTAAATCTGAAAAAACAACTTTAATTATTAATGTTTTAATTATTGTTATATTTTAGAACGACATAAAAGGATGTCAGAAAAAATTAGTGGAACAGTTGACCAATCTTATTCAGGAATCACCAGGGCCCCCCACTCGAAAACTAATAGCAAGATGTCTTGCCACATTATTTTCAGTGGGAGATACTTTCTTACTTTTTGATACTGTCAATACTTGTAATGATATATTAAAAAACAAGGATGATTCACCTAGTTTCTTGTCTACAAAACTGTAAGAAGTTATATTGAAAGCACTTAATATGGCTTATAAAACATTCTTGTTTTAGAGCTGCTATATGTTGTATGGGATCTATGTATGAAAAATTGGGAAGAATGATGGGAAGATCATATGAAGAAACAGTACAAATTTTGGTAAGGTCTCTTAGAAATGCAGAATCCCAAATGAGAATTGAAATTATGTTAACTCTAGAAAAAGTAATGTATACAAACATAAAACTTAAATGAAAAGGCATATAAATATATCTTTTAAGGTTTGTGCTGGCATGGGAGGAGCTATTACAAATGTCCATAAGGAAATATATAAATCAGCAAGAAATTGCTTGATTGACCGTGTAATGGCTGTACGTTGTGCTGCTTCTAAATGTTTGTTAGAGATGTTAAACCATTCTCCATTTTTATATACAACAGAGTTAGAGAGCCTTGCAACTTTATGTTTCAGAGCGTTTGATGGCTCAAATTATGAAGTTCGTTGTGCTGTTGCTAAACTGCTAGGAACTTTAATAGCCACAACCCAACAAACATTTAAAAATAATCAAATTGGTAAGTTGTTTAAAATTATAAGTTCTAAGTTAAATTTAATATTTTACCTATATTTAGCTCCACAATTAAAAGGTTTAAAATTGGTTTCTTTGGATGAAGCATTAGGAATTTTGATGCAGGGATTTCTGAGAGGTGGTGTAGGATTTTTGAAAGGCACCGGTGAAATTATTAAAGGTAGTTCAGGAGTGAATAGAGAAGTTCGAGTAGGAGTAACACATGTAAGCAATTGAAATTATATATACTAAAGAAATTTCTCATAAACATTTGTAAAATCCCTCTAGGCATATGTTGTTTTTGTACAAATTCTTGGTGGAGTTTGGCTGGAAAGAAATATGAAGACTTTGCTTTCTCATATTCTTTATCTTGTTGCCAACCCAAAAGCTGCCTCTTCCCACGTTGATGCAGTTTATTCTCGAAAGTGTGTCAATTTCATTTTAAGAAGTATTCTGGGAAAGATGCTTGGGGAGAAAGCTCAAACTTCTGCTTGTAAAGAAATCGCTCATATAATTGTTAAAGAAATGGCCTCAATCGATTTTAACCCTGAAAATGCAAAAGATTTTAATCAAGAAACGTTGTTCAGTCAGCACTTGTTAGTTTGTGCCCTTCAGGAAATCGGATGTCTCGTGTTAAGTCTGGGAACTACTGCGCATGACCTAATTACGGATTCGTCTTTAAGTACGTTGCAGTTTTGATTTATATATATTGCTGAATTAATGTGTTTATCTTTTAGATTTAATTAACGCAGCGGTTAGTGTTTTAATTCACCCTTGTCAAGCAGCTAGATTAGCAGCAGGATGGTGTTTGAGATGCATTTGTGTAGCAGTTCCTAGTCAAACAACTCCATTAATCGATCGATGTATTAACGCTATTGAAGATCTGAGAACTTCATCCGAGGCCATTTCTGGTAGTAATAAAAATAAATTATTAATTAAAATTAAATACACAAAAAACGGTTTTAAATGTTTCAATTATTAAACAATTTACTGTGTTTAATTTTATTTAATTAATTTTAAACGATGTTTAATGTAGAATGTTGAATTGTTTAGGATATAGTGCTGCATTGGCTGCAGTTCTAGGAGGTGTTCACTTGTCACCTTTGGGTGTACCGCATACAAAAGGGAAAGTGGTTTTTAATACTGCAGAAGAATTGCTCAGAAGTGCTAGTCAGAATAGTAGGTTGTCAATTAATAGAACACAAGCAGGTTGGCTATTAATAGGAGCTATAATGACACTAGGTAATTTATTTATTAGAAGTTGTTGCATTTTTTATTATTATTTTAACTGTTAAAGGTGTTCCGGTTGTACGAGGTCTTCTTCCAAGGATGTTATTACTTTGGAGAAATTCTTTTCCTAGGTCTACAAAGGAACTTGAATCTGAAAAGGCTAGAGGTGATGCTTTCACTTGGCAAGTCACTCTGGAGGGTCGAGCAGGAGCCCTTTCTGCAATGCATAGTTTTATTCTAAACTGTTCTGAACTTGTTACTGAAGATGTTGTAAAACGACTTCTTGTTCCTATAGAATCTGCTTTAGCCATGTTGGTAAAGTGAGTATAAGTTATAATAAAAAAAAAGTTTTTGTTGTATATATTTTGTTTTGTTTTTACTATATATTATTTCTTTCAGCATTTCTAATGTTCTTAAGAGTTATGGACAACAACTAAAAGCATCAGCTGCAATGGTTCGTTTAAGACTATATGAAACGCTAGTTTTACTTCCTGCTCAATCGTTTGAAAGTAAGTGTATTACTTCAACCAGTTCCTGTTTTGTATTTTCTAACATTTAGGTTCATACACCCATTTGCTGAGAATGTTGGTTGCCGAGTTTACACTAACGGAAAATCAAGCAAATACTACAACTTCTCAACTAAGAACAATGTGCCATGCTGACGATTCAGTTATTTTAGGAACATGGTTGCAAGAAACCGATCATAGAACGATTGAAGATCAGGTAAGTTTTTTGCTTCTGATGCCTTTTTATTTTATAGAAATTGCTCATAGTGCAAATAATTTTCTGGTTTCGATCTAACATTTTTCCGGATCTATTTTGCGCTTATTGTACGTGCTTTTGTTGTCTGTGTTTTTGGGGAACATGGTATAACTAATTGCACTTTTCTTAGATGGAGCCTAATCGCAGAGCTGATGGTGAACACGTGAGTAACTTCGGAACATTTGTCCTGGATTCTGTGCATGCTAAACATGATATTACTGCATGTCTATATTTTTGTTTTATATTTATTTTTCTTTCGTTAAATTATTAGAGGTGGTTAATCTTCGGTATGTATTCATAACATTCAATGTGAGGAATTAATTAATATATAAACTTTTCAAATAAATGTGTACATATGTTACTGATTAGTGTTATTGAGATAACTAAGGCAGATAATGTTTATTTTTATTACAATCGAAAATTGACCATCTTAAAAATAAAAGTTATATAAGCTTATATTTTTTCAAACAAAGGTTATAAGGGGATAAGCATAGGAGGACCCCCCCGCAGGGTTTGCGGTATTTTTTTTTTTTTTCGGAAATTGCTATTGATATAAGATTGAGATTTGCCCAGTTTCAGCCCTTAAAAATTTAACCTAGGGAGGGGGAATTGATTTTTATAAATTTACAATGAATATGGCCTGGGAAAATCTGAAAAAAATGTATATTACGCGTAGTCAAAAAAATGAACACAACTTGTGGCTTTGTATACTAGCTATGCATATCTCCCTGTAGCTTTTACGTTTTTTTAATTGTAAATTTGTTATTTTTGTCTAGCTATTTGTTTGTGTTGGAATACATGCAATTTGTTTAAAGATATTGCTAACCAGTTACAATTATTACAAAATTAAATATGGTTAAATTACAAATTCAATTATAATTTTTTATGTTACGCATTTTACTATTAAACACTTATTTCGATATTAGTTCTTATTTTTTATGTACAAAAATTAGAAGAATAATCTAACACTTTAATTTTAGCTTCAGCCCAATAGTGCTGCTGGATCAGGAGCATTGGAACATGATATTTGTTGCCTGTACAGGCCCTTACATTTGGTAATATTGTTACAAATTCGCGATTTAATTAATGTGCTTACATTTTATGTATTGTAACAGGCAGAACTAATCCCTGGACCTTTACCATTAGGCGTAGCAGTAATTGACATGTCAGTATCATTATTTGGTCAAATATTTCCCCGTGTTGCAAACAAGCATCGTCTTCAGATGGTAGATCATTTTGCAGAGTGCATTAAACATGCAAAAAGTTCTCGGCAAGAGGCAATACAAATGAATGTATTTACAGCAATTCTGAGTAGTCTCAAATGCCTAACTGAAGCAAAAATGAGCTTAGGACAAGACGAAGTCAAAAAAGCGGCAACAGCTCTTATAGTAGGAGCTCTTACATCTTCTAATCCGATACTTAGATGCGCTTCTGGTGAGGCGGTTGGTAGAATGGCCCAAGTCGTATCAGATTCTAGGTTTACCGCCGAACTCGCTCAAAATAGTTTCGATAAATTGAAAACTGCGAGGGACGTTGCTAGTCGTACTGGTCATTCATTGGCCCTTGGTTGTCTTCACAGATATGTCGGAAGTATGGGTTCTAGTCAACATTTGAACACAAGCGTTTCTATTCTTTTGGCTCTATCACAAGATACTACTTCACCAGTAGTTCAAGTTTGGGCTTTGCACGCTCTTGCCTTAATTTCTGATTCTGGAGGTCCAATGTTTAGAGGATATGTAGAACCTACGTTGTCTATATGTTTAAAATTACTTTTAAACGTTCCCCAGTCGCATATAGACATTCACCAATGTATAGGGAAGGTACTTTCAGCTTTGATTACTACCGTTGGTCCTGAATTACAAGGAACTACTTCCGGGGTTTGCCTGACCAGATCTTCCTTCTTATGTGCTTGCGCCATCATGCAAGATCATCAAGATCCTCTTGTTCAAGCCGAAGCCACGGGATGTTTGCAACAGCTACACCTTTTCGCCCCTAGACATGTGAATTTGTCCTCGTTAGTCCCCAACCTTTGCGTAAGTTTTTAAATAAACAAGAAAATATACTAATATTTTTCTTAATTAATAAATAATTAATTTACAGAGAACTTTATCAAGTAATCATTTGCTACTACGTAAAGCTGCAGTTTCTTGTTTGCGTCAGTTAGCTCAGAAGGAGGCCAAAGAAGTATGTGAGCATGCTATGACATTGGCTAGCGAAAGTAGGGACTCTAATACAGTTGAAGGTCTCTTGATAACTGAATCTGGATTGCCTGGGGTATTATTTAGCATGCTAGATACCGAAACAGATGCAGGATTAATTAAAGATATACACGACACACTTACTAGCATGCTTCAGATGTTAGCAGCTGATAATTTATCTCAGTGGCTTGGTCTCTGCAAAGACGTTCTGACAATTGCTGCAGGTAAATTTCGATTTATTCATTATAGCCTTTTTTGGTAAAATTCTACATTTATTTTCATCAGATTCTTCTGAAGATCAAATTAGTGTAGCAGGTAATGAAGGTGAAGAAAACGAAGAGGGAGAAGCTGATGATCAAGCAGAATTTCATACGGAAGAAGATAATACACATACATTAGTGCAACCCAGATGGCCAACTCGTGTATTTGCAGCCCAGTGTGTTCGAAAAATCATTGCTGCTTGTGAATATAACAATAAAAGTGCTCACTTTGACTTAATTCAAGCAAAAGAAATGCAGTTTAATAAAAGCCAATGTGATTTTCTGGTCTTACATCTGTCTGACCTTATAAGAATGGCTTTTATGGCTGCTACAAGCAATTCAGATCCTTTAAGATTGGAAGGTCTGAAAACATTACAGGAAGTTATAGAAAAGTTTGCCAAGGTCCCTGAACCTGAATTTCCAGGACATCCTCTTTTAGAACAGTTCCAAGCACAAGTAAGCTAATAAAATTTATTGGACACTGCTTTGAATAATAGAGATAAATTTTAATTAGGTGGGTGCAGCTTTACGCCCTGCGTTCGCTCCGGAGACTTCTTCGCACGTTACCGCAGCGGCATGTGAAGTTTGTTCAGCTTGGATTGGTTCAAACGTTGCCCGAGACTTGAATGATTTACGTAGAGTCCACCAGTTGTTGGTATCGTCGTTGGATAAACTTCAGAACAGAAGTAACTCATCTCAACTTTACAATGAAAGCATGACAACACTAGAAAAGTTATCAATTCTAAAGGCATGGGCTGAGATTTATATTGTTGCTATGAATGGTAATGGTACAGCCCCTGGTTGTACTGCTCTGGGTAATTCAACTAATAATAATACTGATGATGATTTTGGGGATTTTGAGTACAAAGGGGAAAGTTTATTGGCCCTTGTGCAACCAGAATTAGTTAATTTATCTCAACACTGGTTAGCAGCCCTTAGAGATCACGCCCTGTTGTCTCTTCCCGCTGGTAAGGAAGAGGACTGTTTTAATTTTCCACAAATATATATAAATAATTGTAGAGTTCGGAAGTCAGTTACCACACGATGGCGGGGCCTTTTATACCAACGATACTATGGAATCTTCAAGACCGCATTACGCTGCTACTTGGCCTTCTATTTTACATGCTGCTGCCCTTTGGTTGAACGCCGGTGGCTATGAAACTTTGCAGAATCCTCCCACGTCGACTAACGATAATGAAAATATAAACAACGACAACGCTAATAATAACCAATCACTTGATTCAGGATCTGACAAATTTCACTTACTTTTTGGTATTTGCATGGAGGCACTATGTTCTCCGAGGTCAGTCGAGCCCCTAGAAAGTATAATAACTTGTTTACAAGCTCTGTACACCCTCTTGGATTCCCCATGGGCAAGAAATTTATTAATGGTCGATAGAACTCTAGGAATAGAACTTTGTAACGTTTTGCACAGGCTTCTGCTCACTAGAGATAACCATTCTGCTCAACTGTTATGCATGTTGGTATTAAAACAAGTTATAAGAGCTGCACAAGAAGATTTAGACCAACAGAAAAGCGAAAGGCTGCAAGGTAATACAACAATGTCGTTATTAAACAATTTACGATTTCTTTATTTATTAATTTTTTTTAATGTACTTAAAGAAAATCCAACAAATGATAATGAAAGCAATACAACAATAAGTATAGATTTATTAGGAGAAGGAGGTGACACTGGAGAAATCATACCAGGAAAGTCATTAGTTTTTGCTGTATTGGAAGTATGCTTGTGTCTTCTAGTCAGGCATCTACCTGCGTTAAGTCCAAATCCTAACTCAACTATTGTTACCACACTCAAAGTGACACATCCTACAGAAGATGCAAGCAGATTAATAGCGGCTGCATTTTCTAGTTTGGAAGTCTTGCAGAAGTTGTGCTCTCCAAAAGGTAAACTAACTGACAATGTGTATATATGATATATATATAATAATATCTTTCAATCTAATTTAGGTGCAGTATCAGTTTTACCCACCGTTCTTTTCCTCACAACTGGAGTCATAAAGGAAGTGGCCACGAAGAATGTAAATGATAACACAATACTAGCAAATAGTGCTTCTGTACAGTCCGCGTTACATTGCCTGAAAACACTAACTACCGATTTATACTGTACAAATCCCATAAGTAATGAAAGTTGGCAAAAACTGTTACAAAGCGCCTTGGCAAAAATAATCGACTTGGCAAAAACTGGAAGTGATGAAAATAAATTAGACGAAGTAACAATAATGATGGCTATTGCCGTTTTTGTTCTTCATGCTCCTTCTTCTGTGGTTACCGCTCCCAATTTATTATACCCATGTATTAATCATTTTCGGCAGTGTTTCCAAAATTCTAACGTCAATGTAAGTTAATTAATTTAATTAATCGTTTTTTTTTTTTTTTTTATATTTTGGATTTATCATTTTTTTGTTATTGCAGGTCCGTTTGAAGTGTGTTCAGACTTTAAAATCGATATTTAATCACAGTGATCGTGCTGTAGCAACCCCTTATATACACGCACTTGCTGGCAGATTGGTTGAATTTTTATATACAGATGCGGCAAAAACAGTTACATCCAATGACGAATTGACCCTTACCCTGGAGATTGTCACAGCTGTAGAAACGTTGATAGCCCTGGTTGAACCACAAAATCGTAAGTACAAATTTTCAAGAATAATGATAGATTTACACAAAGAGTTATTGAATATTTAAATAATATGAAAGTAAACTAGCTTCCAAAAGAAAATTGTTATTGTGTTATTTATATACGTATATCATTTCTGTCTGCGTGCTTTAGGAGACATTTTGCAAGGTAAGATGGTTGGCGTAAATTTACTTATGCCAGTTTTTGAGTCTATGTTAATAAGTAAGAATGTATTATTTATTTTGTTTAATGCTTATTTTAATGTGCATGGGAAAACAATGTTTTTATATTATACTAAATGTTAATAGGTAATTGATAATTTTTTTTGCAGTTCATGTTATGTTTCTTCATTTTCTTTTTCAGGTGTCCAAATGCTTTCTCTCTTAGTTCCAGTACTGATAAGTTATTTGATGGACAGACAAGCTTTAAATTCTTCTAATAAATACTCATTACTTCTTCATGAAACTAGCTTGCAGTGGTTGATAAAAATTGGTCCAAAATATTCACAGGTAAATGCACAACTGCTAAATTTAGTGATAATATACACTAAAATTTTTATTTTAGGAATTTAAACGTCTAATGAGTCAGTCTGTCGAATTAAGAACAAGATTGGAAAATGCAATAAAGCAGAATCAACAGTCTGATAGAATAAAGAACGAACCTAATTTTAATAAACCAATTGTAAACCACACACCTTCCATAAAACTAAAAAAAGACTTCAGTAATTTCAACTAATTCATTCTATTAGGTGCCTAGCTTGAATAGTTGCTCTAAAATTATAAGAATCTCAAAAACATTTTGTAAACACATCGAGGTTTATAGATTCATTAGATAGAAAAGGAAATAAGGTTTTTGAAACTTGATTGATTTTAATAATTTAATGTTTATAGGTGAAAGGGTATTGCATTGACTTTTCCTCAAGAAATTTCGTTTGTATAGACATTCTCAAATTTAAAGTTACGGTATTGTTTTCTCTTTTTATTCAAGGAAAGATGATAAGGAAAGTAAAAAGAAGTAATTTATATAAGTATCTAGTCTTGTGTAGTGTTAGATTGTAACTATAAAATCGTTGGTTACTAAGTAAACTAATGAAATTCTGAAAAATACGAGATCGTAAAGCATTTACTGTTTGCATATGGAAATACGGTTTTATTTTAACTAAATTCAGTTTTACTTGGCAAAAAATAAACATAATTTTTACTTATTACTATATGCAACGAATTATTTATGTATTAAAAATCGTAAAACATTAATATTTGAACTTGACAGTGCAATATGAGGAATACATGCATTTCAGATAAATCCTTTTCATTTTTATGAGTTAACAATATCGAAAAAGCAATATATTATTCGCAATCCAGAAATATAATAAAACTAAAGTAAGCGTATGTACCAAAATTATTATATGATCGTTAGAAATATAATGTAATCTTTATAATAGGCATTCCTATTTCTTATGCATTTTTTTAGTAACTGCCATATTATCAAAAAAATAAAGTACCATGTAAAATACAGTTTTAAAATCCAATATACATGGGACTACTGTTAGCGTGTGATATATTTATACTTACATATTATATATTTAGGAAAGAAAAGAAAACTATTTAAAGACGTGTTTGTATACTAAAATATTTAAAAAGAAATGTTTAAAACTAATCCTACAAATTATTCAAAAAAGGATTTATTACCTTAATACGTTTAAGTCGTATTTGCTTATTGAAAGAATACAAATAAACTTTTGAATGTTTGTATTCAGGTTGGTGTAATATTTAATTTTTTTTTTGCAATTTAAGATTAGGTAGAGTACATAGAAAATTGCAATTTTAAATAGTTACTTATGAAAGATAGTAAATACTTGTGCCAAACTGTATTTTTTTCTGTAATATTGGCAAATAAAAATTTATTAAGAGTAATGGAATAAATTTGCATTTTCGTACAAAAGTTCTTGTTTTAAAATTACTATTTTATGAATTTATAAGTAATTGTGTGTATTAAAAAAATAACACACTTTTTTAATTTTTATAGTAGAATGTTTGTTAACAGTTTTTGAAAGTGACGTTAAAAAACAAACGAAAATAACTGATTGTATGAGTAAGCAGTTAAGTGCCCTATTTTTTTTAATTAAAATGAGAATTGATTTTATCTTGTTCCCCAAATATACAGTTACGGTTTTGTAATTTCTATAAAATATGATGTACGCTAACCTATTATTAAGATTATAATCTAGTCGGACAAAAGATCATTATTGTACCATCTAAAAATTAATTGTCTTTAATCAATACACTTCAGTGGCGTTACTGAAGTACATTTAATGAGTTACGTAATTCGCACATGCGATAAAATCAAAGAACCTTATATAAATAACCAGAATTGTTGAACATTTTTGAATTAAAAGTTTAAACATCGTGAAAATTACAAATTAATTAGAATGCACACGTTTTTAATAATGGTTTTCATTATTTTATTGGCGGATTTCTATAAAACTGAGGTAAACGCATTTTTTTACTTTTACCAAAAAAAGCTGAAGAAAAATAATGTATAATTTAAAAGATGCTAATGTTAAAATATAACGTTAAAATTATGTAAATTCTTCATAGGTGGAAGTAAAACTTTACAAACTAGAGAATTGCCAGAGCGCAAAAAATCTTACAATAATGTTTAAGTTTGAAAATTTAATAACAACCAATAACAAAATGTTGATGAATTACACATCTTACGTAAAGGAAGATGTTACGAATCCAATTTCTGTAAGATAACTGATTCTTCATTTAATTTTTAAACAATTTCGTATTGGAAAATAATTTCAGATTGTTGTGTATTCGAAAAAATGTTTGTTTAAAGACAATTTGGACACATGTGAAGACATGCCTGTTTTACAGTACAACAGATTTTGCGAAAACGTTAAGAAACCTAATATCTTGTTAAAAGAAATAATTTATAAAACTACCCCGTTTATTGATTGCCCCATAAGAAAGGTAAGCCAACCATCGTTAAACAAAATTATTAACAATAAGATTGTTATTTTCTGTATTTTTAGGGAACTTACAAGACAGTTAACGCCACTTTTGATATAAACGCACTTCTTGCTTATCAAACTAAAACTTACTTCTGGGTGACAAGATCGGAAATTATAGAAAAATCAACAAAGAAACTTTTATTTTGTTTATTTACAAAGGCTCAAGTAATTTTTAAGTGATTTTTCTCAGTTTTGTAATAATCTTGAGATATAAAATTATATATGTATATGCTTGTAATGTTCTACTTTACTAATAACAAAAAACAAATGAGGGTGCAGAAAACGAATGAAATAAATAATGATATATTAATTTAATTAAATGTATCATCGTTAAAAATTGTATGAATGAAACATCATAATATTATTCTGATGTACTTTTTTGTTTAGTTTTAATAAAATCCTTGTGCAAATAAGATATTAATGTTGTAACACTTATTTTAAATATTCTTAAAATAAGTTGTTTGTTAATGACTCTGTCGTAGGCGCGAAAACTACTTTTAAATATATAATTCAAAAATTCATTAGTATAGCCACAGGTCTACAGTGCTGTATATCAAGTTGCATACTATTTGTTCTACTTTAATAACAATATATGTATTTATATGTCAACGATTTAATTTAATCATTTATGTTAATAATAGAAAGGAAAGCTGAAGCAAAAACTACCAGGTTTTTAATACATAAATAATTTAATGTAACTAAACAAATAAATAGCCTAAAAATAAATTGCAACTGTCGACTGTAGTTGGTGCGCCTGCGCCATGTTAGAACTACAATTGCTGTCAGGTGAAGTTTTGAATTTCTCGGAGGTAAGAGATTAAGAATACTTGATAAAAATGTTTCCTAAAAGTGATACAACTACAAAAATAGTACTAAATATTGCTATTTATTTTTATGTGCAAATACGTCTGTTTCCACCACTTATTTTCTTTGTGTATTTTCGATATAGGTTATGACTTGAGTACTGCCTACTTATTAATTCCTCGCAAAATATTTGATTTCACACGATTTTGCTTAATTTCTGAAATACAGACAGCGTTCTGTGATATTTAAACATAAATTAATACATTTTCGAATTCTTTCGAGAAAACGATTGTTATAAGATTTTAGTAAATTAGTATTAGTTTAGGTCCCTTCCTGATATTATTACAATGTTTTTACCATTTTAACAACATTGGGAGGGAGCTGCTATTTTATAGGAAAATAGGAAATAGGACTGTTAACCAGCATAGGCTCTAACAAATTGATTCGTACTCCAAAGTTACGTACAATATATTTATTTGATATTAAAAGACAAAAGGGTCAGACATTACTTTAATATTGTACTATGAACGTTTTTAAGTAGGGAGGCTAAATTCATTATATTTTGAATATTCTCTCGTAATATTTACAGGATAGTATAGGTAATACAGGAGCTACAAAAACTCAGGAGACATGTATTATGAAACATTGGTTGCTCTTTCACACTGCAAATTTTGAAGAAATTGACTACTCCAAATTTAAATCAATCAAGTAATTCGTCATTTCAGTAACTATTTTCATAGCACGAGATAATCCTAATCTATGGAGCAATATACTATTATTTATATTATTAAAATCACTCTTAAGTAAATGATGCTTCCTCAATTGTAGGACTGATGTTGCAAAGTTAATTTTATTCATTAATGATGAGGCATCAATATATATCTTAGTTATAACTGAATACTTTTTCATAAGACTTCATTTAACAGGAACAGAAGAACACTTAATTACGGAGCACTTCTTGTATCAGTCCTCATTTGCCCCAGAAAGAAGCTATTCCTATGGTCTTAAAGAAAGCATGAATGTGCCTTTTTTCCATAAGAGAACAAAAGACAGTGTGCTGAAGAAAGGATTTATGACAATGAACTGGTATGTAACAGTATTAATTAAAAATAGTAAACGAGGTCCCACAAACATCCATTCCCTAAACTTCCAAAAAGCCTGGTTGGGTTTTTAGCTCCACTAAATTTTGCTGATTTTGCCACAAAAATTTATAAAGAACATCGATTTGCAACTTCCAATCCCCAATTTAAAAGGATTTTTTTCTTCATTATAAATATTTTGAACCCTGATTTTGAAAGCCGAGTCGTTAATATGTAAAAAAAATCAGATTTGCTACTGCAGCCTGACTCAGGACACTTTGGAGTGAAATGGGTTGCCTATATGAAAGACCAACAGTCGCTAGCGGTATTTAAAATAATTTGAATTTTAAATTCACACCGTCCTGCGAAATTAAATAAGTGCGCTGTTGTCGAGATAAAGGTAGAAATATTACAGTGCAAGTCGAAATTTGTAAGCAACTAAATTTTTAGATTTTAATAAAATAATTTAAATTTATTTGGTACATAAGACGTCTATAAAAATAATTCATTTTACATCACTTAATACTGTTAATGTAAATGAATTTTTATCACTTTGTTTTGTATATTTCTCGAATGTGGACATTTTTACCTTGTGTCCTGTACATTACAATTTTTCATAGCATTTCTGATAGATAAAGATGTTTATAGTTAAATATGCAGACAAAAAACTGTTAGTTTCATCTAGCAAAATTGTGGTGGGATTATGAAAAAGTAATGAAGAAGTAATAGTCAGGGAGATAAATGCTTCTTAATCAAAGAAGCGATCGATTAAGAATAAAAGTAATGTACCTACCAACCTTTTTTTAGTAAGCATATAGTAACAACGATAAGAACAAAGCAATGAATTTTTAATTTTCTGTCCAAAGATTGAGTAATTTGTTAACAGTTACTTCTTTCGTAGGCATCGGAAGTCTTCAANCGTGTTTTCAAATTACGTGCCAATGAAAATAAACGAAGTTTTAGTTATATAATTCTTTTAAAAAAGTAACATTGCAAATGAAAATGAAAATTTCCCGCTCTTATGCCAATGAAAAGAGCTTATCAATTTTTCACAACGGTTTTATAACTAAAACTTCTTACGTTCCTGTAGGTATTTAGGTATTTAAAGAAAACCAAAAGATAACATAATACATAAAAGTACAAACTAACTGCAAATTTTAAGTGGTTACCTATTAATTTAGAAATGGTTCAACTTTTTAATAACTAAAATCGACAAGTCAGATAAATTTAAGTGTAAATTAATTTATTTATCCCATGCTTTAACGTTATTTATCGTAAATTGTACAACATGAAGGCTATTAATAATTCGGGAACAGGAAATTTAAACCACAGAAACCGTTTATTAATAGACTAAATAAACTTTAAATGTTTACATTTATTTTTTAAATAACAATAAGGTACTTCTTAAATGTTATACTGCAATTACTAAGTTTCTTAATTTCATTCGTTTAATGCTTAAAAAATTCAATTTCTTGTCCATTCGGTCGAATTTTATTATACCACAGCATTGCGATAAGCCTACAAATCAACATTATTGTAAATTATGTAAGTTTATATAATAGTTTAGACTATTTTTGTTTTGTTGGTCGTGTTCTTTTTATTTAACTATGCAATTCGCAGAAATTTAACATTTTTGTCATAATGTGTAGGTTGAGATTCCTAAATCAGATAAATTGACGATAATAAGTAAGATTTATTTAACTACTACGTAAAAATCTTCTGATTTGATTACGTATAAATTAAAGCTCAGAAATAAAGCATATTAATTTACTAAAAACGGTAGAATAAAATCGTTACCACAGTAAAATACGATATATTGTGTATCTATTAATCAACCAAGTTACAGGTCAAGCCCTAACAATACATAAAAAATATAAGATTAAAATATATATACATGAGTTGTGATCAGGCGATGGAACTCTCACGAAGCAAAAACACACAGAAATTCAATTCTGTAAAACGGGGATGAAACTAGCCACGCGATTGGTTAAATTACGAAAAATTTGCCGCAAACCGTCGCAGAAATCTAATTTGATGCTTCTGATTGAATTTGCCTACGTCATCAGTGCTTCGTGCAGTAGCTATCGCAATTTTGCGACAAGCCTGAGACGCGTTTGGTACATTATAACATTATAAGTTCATAAAGTTTGGAGGTGGAAGAACGTGTTTTCGCGTTTCTTAAATTCAACTTATCGAGCTATTTTTTTCGCAAAATTAGTTCTAATTTGTTCTACGTCTGAAAGGTTAGTTTGATTGATTCATATTCTATTATTATTCTTCGTATTTGCTCACAGCATAAATTAAATTGACAAAATTGTTAAAGGTTAAATCTTCAAACAGGCAGCAGGTGGATCATTTCAGTAACTATTTTCATAGCACGAGATAATCCTAATCTATGGAGCAATATACTATTATTTATATTATTAAAATCACTCTTAAGTAAATGATGCTTCCTCAATTGTAGGACTGATGTTGCAAAGTTAATTTTATTCATTAATGATGAGGCATCAATATATATCTTAGTTATAACTGAATACTTTTTCATAAGACTTCATTTAACAGGAACAGAAGAACACTTAATTACGGAGCACTTCTTGTATCAGTCCTCATTTGCCCCAGAAAGAAGCTATTCCTATGGTCTTAAAGAAAGCATGAATGTGCCTTTTTTCCATAAGAGAACAAAAGACAGTGTGCTGAAGAAAGGATTTATGACAATGAACTGGTATGTAACAGTATTAATTAAAAATAGTAAACGAGGTCCCACAAACATCCATTCCCTAAACTTCCAAAAAGCCTGGTTGGGTTTTTAGCTCCACTAAATTTTGCTGATTTTGCCACAAAAATTTATAAAGAACATCGATTTGCAACTTCCAATCCCCAATTTAAAAGGATTTTTTTCTTCATTATAAATATTTTGAACCCTGATTTTGAAAGCCGAGTCGTTAATATGTAAAAAAAATCAGATTTGCTACTGCAGCCTGACTCAGGACACTTTGGAGTGAAATGGGTTGCCTATATGAAAGACCAACAGTCGCTAGCGGTATTTAAAATAATTTGAATTTTAAATTCACACCGTCCTGCGAAATTAAATAAGTGCGCTGTTGTCGAGATAAAGGTAGAAATATTACAGTGCAAGTCGAAATTTGTAAGCAACTAAATTTTTAGATTTTAATAAAATAATTTAAATTTATTTGGTACATAAGACGTCTATAAAAATAATTCATTTTACATCACTTAATACTGTTAATGTAAATGAATTTTTATCACTTTGTTTTGTATATTTCTCGAATGTGGACATTTTTACCTTGTGTCCTGTACATTACAATTTTTCATAGCATTTCTGATAGATAAAGATGTTTATAGTTAAATATGCAGACAAAAAACTGTTAGTTTCATCTAGCAAAATTGTGGTGGGATTATGAAAAAGTAATGAAGAAGTAATAGTCAGGGAGATAAATGCTTCTTAATCAAAGAAGCGATCGATTAAGAATAAAAGTAATGTACCTACCAACCTTTTTTTAGTAAGCATATAGTAACAACGATAAGAACAAAGCAATGAATTTTTAATTTTCTGTCCAAAGATTGAGTAATTTGTTAACAGTTACTTCTTTCGTAGGCATCGGAAGTCTTCAAAAAGGACTATGACATTTTTTTTAACCACTAATAGTGGTTAATATGCAATATTAATGTGAAAATTCATTTTAGATTTTCTAACCACTANCCTGCCTCCTGTTGTTACGGCAAAAATTAACTGCATAATGTTGCAAGATGAAGACATCAAAATTATCAGTTGCTTCAGTAGCATCAAAATTAACTGCAATCCCTCGTCATTTGTGGGACAATCTATATAGAAACAGACAAGAAAAAGTAAATTAATTACCATTTTTAAAAGAAGTAAATCAGTAATATTTTCAAGTGGCAATATAGTGATAAAGTTAGAAGTTAACTCTCACATTGATGGAAAGGTCAGTTCCACAATAATTGTGCTTTTTCCATTTCTGCAAAGTTGTCTATTGAAGCAAGTTACAAATGTCCAAGAAATCAAGTTCCTGGGGCTCTCACTTACTAATTTTAATTGATACTGTTACATACCAGTTTATTGTCATAAATCCCTCCTTCAGCAACACACTTCTTAAGCACATTGTCTCCGTTCCCAATGGAAAGGCACTTTCATGCTTTCTTTATGACCATAGGAACAGTCACTTTTTTAGAGTCAATGAGGACCGACACAATCAATGCTCCACAATTTAATGGCATCTGGAGTTCTTCTAACATCCCTGTAAAATCAAATAATAAGAAAAAGTATTCAAATATAATAAATTTAGACCCCATACTAAGTAGAGTGCATAAATAAATTGTTAAAAGTAACGCCGTACCCTTTTGTCTTTTAATATCAAAAAAAAATACGCTACATATATACAATACAGCATGTATGCTCACCTTAATTAACTACAAGAGCATCCAGGATGAAAATTTAACAGCTTCGTTCCCAATGGAAAAAAGGCACTTTCATGCTTTCTTTAGAACCATGGGCACAGCTACTTTCCGGAGCAAATGAGGACTAATACAACCAATGCTCCATAATTTCATAATTTAATGGTATCCGGAGTTCTTTTAATGTTCCTGTAAAATGAAATCTTATGAAAAAGTGTTCAGATATAATTAATTAAGTATGAAGTAAATAATGTGCACCATACATTGCTAAAGTAATGCTGCACCTTTTTAGTTGTTAATATCAAATAAATACACTACATATAGAAAATATAGTATGCATGCTCACCTTAATTAACTGCAAGAGCCTTCAAGATGAAAAGTTAACAGCTAAAACACCATAGGAGACGACTTCTTTTCAGTAAGCAAAGGATATCAGTTCCAATCTCTATCAATCGTTGGCTAATCTATGTAAACGGACAAAAACAATTATTAACTAATTAATTTGATAGACATCTGTTACGCAGAAAATTTAAATATTTAATCCTTTTCACTTTCTTCCTTTTTCTCAAATGAAAGTCGAAATATATGCGGAGAATGGATAAAAAAAAGAATTAAACAGTCGTATTAAATAAATGAAACATGAAATAAAACAAAAACACGCAATAAAAAACCATTCAAAGACGAATAAAATAACATTAAAAATGACGACATGGCCACCTGATGTCTGTTTGAAGATATAACCTTTAACAATTTTGTCAATTTAATTTATGCTGTGAGCAAATACGAAGAATAATAATAGAATATGAATCAATCAAACTAACCTTTCAGACGTAGAACAAATTAGAACTAATTTTGCGAAAAAAATAGCTCGATAAGTTGAATTTAAGAAACGCGAAAACACGTTCTTCCACCTCCAAACTTTATGAACTTATAATGTTATAATGTACCAAACGCGTCTCAGGCTTGTCGCAAAATTGCGATAGCTACTGCACGAAGCACTGATGACGTAGGCAAATTCAATCAGAAGCATCAAATTAGATTTCTGCGACGGTTTGCGGCAAATTTTTCGTAATTTAACCAATCGCGTGGCTAGTTTCATCCCCGTTTTACAGAATTGAATTTCTGTGTGTTTTTGCTTCGTGAGAGTTCCATCGCCTGATCACAACTCATGTATATATATTTTAATCTTATATTTTTTATGTATTGTTAGGGCTTGACCTGTAACTTGGTTGATTAATAGATACACAATATATCGTATTTTACTGTGGTAACGATTTTATTCTACCGTTTTTAGTAAATTAATATGCTTTATTTCTGAGCTTTAATTTATACGTAATCAAATCAGAAGATTTTTACGTAGTAGTTAAATAAATCTTACTTATTATCGTCAATTTATCTGATTTAGGAATCTCAACCTACACATTATGACAAAAATGTTAAATTTCTGCGAATTGCATAGTTAAATAAAAAGAACACGACCAACAAAACAAAAATAGTCTAAACTATTATATAAACTTACATAATTTACAATAATGTTGATTTGTAGGCTTATCGCAATGCTGTGGTATAATAAAATTCGACCGAATGGACAAGAAATTGAATTTTTTAAGCATTAAACGAATGAAATTAAGAAACTTAGTAATTGCAGTATAACATTTAAGAAGTACCTTATTGTTATTTAAAAAATAAATGTAAACATTTAAAGTTTATTTAGTCTATTAATAAACGGTTTCTGTGGTTTAAATTTCCTGTTCCCGAATTATTAATAGCCTTCATGTTGTACAATTTACGATAAATAACGTTAAAGCATGGGATAAATAAATTAATTTACACTTAAATTTATCTGACTTGTCGATTTTAGTTATTAAAAAGTTGAACCATTTCTAAATTAATAGGTAACCACTTAAAATTTGCAGTTAGTTTGTACTTTTATGTATTATGTTATCTTTTGGTTTTCTTTAAATACCTAAATACCTACAGGAACGTAAGAAGTTTTAGTTATAAAACCGTTGTGAAAAATTGATAAGCTCTTTTCATTGGCATAAGAGCGGGAAATTTTCATTTTCATTTGCAATGTTACTTTTTTAAAAGAATTATATAACTAAAACTTCGTTTATTTTCATTGGCACGTAATTTGAAAACACGGATTTTTTAAAAATACAATACTTTTTGAAAATGCAAGAAAAGAGAGTACATTACTTTTATTCTTAATCAATCGCTATTTTTGATTAAGAAGCATCTATCTCCTTGACTATTTTTGCTTTATTACATTTTTATACACTCATCACAATTTTCCCAAGTACAGCTAACAGTTTTTTGTCTGCATATTTAACGATAATCATCTTTCTCTATAAAAAAAACTATAAAAAATTGTTATGTACAGAACACAAGGTAAAAAATACCACATTACACCAATATACAAAACAAACTGATAAAAATTCATTTACAATAACAATGTTAAGTATTGTACAATCACAATTATTTTCATAGATTGCTTATGTACCAAATAAATTTAAATTATTTTATTAAAATCTAAAAATTTAGTTGCTTACAAATTTCGACTTGCACTGTAATATTTCTACCTTTATCTCGACAACAGCGCACTTATTTAATTTCGCAGGACGGTGTGAATTTAAAATTCAAATTATTTTAAATACCGCTAGCGACTGTTGGTCTTTCATATAGGCAACCCATTTCACTCCAAAGTATCCTGAGTCAGGCTGCAGTAGCAAATCTGATTTTTTTTACATATTAACGACTCGGCTTTCAAAATCAGGGTTCAAAATATTTATAATGAAGAAAAAAATCCTTTTAAATTGGGGATTGGAAGTTGCAAATCGATGTTCTTTATAAATTTTTGTGGCAAAATCAGCAAAATTTAGTGGAGCTAAAAACCCAACCAGGCTTTTTGGAAGTTTAGGGAATGGATGTTTGTGGGACCTCGTTTACTATTTTTAATTAATACTGTTACATACCAGTTCATTGTCATAAATCCTTTCTTCAGCACACTGTCTTTTGTTCTCTTATGGAAAAAAGGCACATTCATGCTTTCTTTAAGACCATAGGAATAGCTTCTTTCTGGGGCAAATGAGGACTGATACAAGAAGTGCTCCGTAATTAAGTGTTCTTCTGTTCCTGTTAAATGAAGTCTTATGAAAAAGTATTCAGTTATAACTAAGATATAGATTGATGCCTCATCATTAATGAATAAAATTAACTTTGCAACATCAGTCCTACAATTGAGGAAGCATCATTTACTTAAGAGTGATACAAATTATATAAATAATAGTATATTGCTCCATAGATTAGGATTATCTCGTGCTATGAAAATAGTTACTGAAATGACGAATTACTTGATTGATTTAAATTTGGAGTAGTCAATTTCTTCAAAATTTGCAGTGTGAAAGAGCAACCAATGTTTCATAATACATGTCTCCTGAGTTTTTGTAGCTCCTGTATTACCTATACTATCCTGTAAATATTACGAGAGAATATTCAAAATATAATGAATTTAGCCTCCCTACTTAAAAACGTTCATAGTACAATATTAAAGTAATGTCTGACCCTTTTGTCTTTTAATATCAAATAAATATATTGTACGTAACTTTGGAGTACGAATCAATTTGTTAGAGCCTATGCTGGTTAACAGTCCTATTTCCTATTTTCCTATAAAATAGCAGCTCCCTCCCAATGTTGTTAAAATGGTAAAAACATTGTAATAATATCAGGAAGGGACCTAAACTAATACTAATTTACTAAAATCTTATAACAATCGTTTTCTCGAAAGAATTCGAAAATGTATTAATTTATGTTTAAATATCACAGAACGCTGTCTGTATTTCAGAAATTAAGCAAAATCGTGTGAAATCAAATATTTTGCGAGGAATTAATAAGTAGGCAGTACTCAAGTCATAACCTATATCGAAAATACACAAAGAAAATANTATGAAAAATTGTAATGTACAGGACACAAGGTAAAAATGTCCACATTCGAGAAATATACAAAACAAAGTGATAAAAATTCATTTACATTAACAGTATTAAGTGATGTAAAATGAATTATTTTTATAGACGTCTTATGTACCAAATAAATTTAAATTATTTTATTAAAATCTAAAAATTTAGTTGCTTACAAATTTCGACTTGCACTGTAATATTTCTACCTTTATCTCGACAACAGCGCACTTATTTAATTTCGCAGGACGGTGTGAATTTAAAATTCAAATTATTTTAAATACCGCTAGCGACTGTTGGTCTTTCATATAGGCAACCCATTTCACTCCAAAGTATCCTGAGTCAGGCTGCAGTAGCAAATCTGATTTTTTTTACATATTAACGACTCGGCTTTCAAAATCAGGGTTCAAAATATTTATAATGAAGAAAAAAATCCTTTTAAATTGGGGATTGGAAGTTGCAAATCGATGTTCTTTATAAATTTTTGTGGCAAAATCAGCAAAATTTAGTGGAGCTAAAAACCCAACCAGGCTTTTTGGAAGTTTAGGGAATGGATGTTTGTGGGACCTCGTTTACTATTTTTAATTAATACTGTTACATACCAGTTCATTGTCATAAATCCTTTCTTCAGCACACTGTCTTTTGTTCTCTTATGGAAAAAAGGCACATTCATGCTTTCTTTAAGACCATAGGAATAGCTTCTTTCTGGGGCAAATGAGGACTGATACAAGAAGTGCTCCGTAATTAAGTGTTCTTCTGTTCCTGTTAAATGAAGTCTTATGAAAAAGTATTCAGTTATAACTAAGATATAGATTGATGCCTCATCATTAATGAATAAAATTAACTTTGCAACATCAGTCCTACAATTGAGGAAGCATCATTTACTTAAGAGTGATTTTAATAATATAAATAATAGTATATTGCTCCATAGATTAGGATTATCTCGTGCTATGAAAATAGTTACTGAAATGATTGGTAAAATTGATATATTTTCTTGCTCAAGCATAGAATTTGAAAACTTTGCAAAGAATAAGATAATTATATATTAATACATAGCTGTATAATTGCGACTTGACTATATGCTTCGACTAGCCTAATTATTATATATTAATAAAATGTATTTAAAGGACAATTATGTCTGTATACATAAATAAATAAGTATTAAATACCTCACTTGATGATGAATTACTTGATTGATTTAAACTTGGAGTAGTCGATACAATAAAATTTTTTCAAAATTGGAATTTACATTATGAAACAATGACATTTTGGCTTGTTCAATGAACCAACTAAAGTCCTAAGAATATTCTTAAAGTAGTTTTCTTACCTTCTAGTCCTACAACTGCTAACCTAACCAATTACGAGCCACAAAAATCTCATTCTTCAGCAATCCATTTGATGCTTTGATCGTTACCCTCCTTCCGGGGGGGATGTCTTTTATGACTTAAGCTAAATGGAGACAAAAGAGAAATCACTTTAGTGTCTTTTCTTCAGAACAATTACTGTTTGTTGTATTTGCAAACTATTTAATTACCAATGCAATGGAATTTCCACAAGCACCTGACCATTTTAAATTATTTAATTTAATTAGGCAAAGAGAAATGGGATTTTCATTAAATAGTAGCAGATATGTTATTTCGTCAAGAAAAACCTAATTTTAACTACAAACTGCAAATGACACTAGTGATTATCGAAACAATTACTAATTAATTATAAACTAGGGGATTAAATATAATTCTTATGTATTTTAACCATTTATAAGGGAAACGTAAACATACCGAATTNTCGATGCCTTTGTTGTCTCTGTTTCCAAGGAATAAAAGGATCTACCTCATACTGGGATGAATTGTAGATTGCTACATTCACAGACCAATTACACATGATGGTGAAAGTTTTTGTAATAGTCCTGTTAAAAAATCAAATAATGACAAATGAACAAAAGATTACAGTTATAATATAAATAGTTATTGATATCTTTTTAATAGTCCTTGTTTCATTAAACTGTTTAATTTTAAATTAAACATGCACAAAAAAGTTGTATTACTATAGATAATAAAATGTGAATGTATACTAAATTGACTACTAATTAGCTCATTCAAATTGCAAATATAAATTCTTGGTCAATAAGCATAAATAAAACACTTAAAACCAGAAATTCTTCATACTGTATCTAATCACACTATATCACATATTTTAAAAGGCTTGGAGTCTATTAGCCAAATAAATAAAACTGTTTCATGTGTGATTAGGTATTTATTATCCTATTTACTACGTTTCATATAACTTTTTTTGATTTTTTCACATAAACTTACACCTATAGTAAAGAATTATGAATAAATGTTCTCTGATATTGTTAGAATTTCTTCTTCTTCTATGTATTCTCACTTTAATTACCTACATAAAGTCTCAACGTAACGAAGTCTGACAAAAAGGGTACCATCATACTAGTGAAAGTGGAATAAGATAATAATAATAATAATATAAGAAATAATCAGTCCATTATTTGACTGCAAAAATAGGTCATTCATCAAATTCAAACAATCCTACCTTTGAATTCAATTTGTTTAAGTCCATATTAGTCACAGGCTTATTTTTCACCTTACAATAATATCTATCTGCAGAGTTAAGTCCAGGTCCTATACCCATAATAAACATAGATACGAAAAGGTCCCAAAACAGCACCTAGTTCTTTGTATATTATAAGTAGCATTTTCTGAAGAAAAATAGCCACTCTTAACCCACGTCATAACATCGTAAAAAGTCGTAAATACTTGACAACAAATTTTAATTTATTACTTACGAAATCCACCACATCAAATGCCCATTATTACTTGGTCATTTTTCATATTGAAAGTGGCAGAAAAGGTTACTTCTAGAAGATGCAAGTTTCTCAGACGTAGCTCTGGCAATTTCAATTTTATTTGATCTCGAAAATAACTGAAAAAATTTGGAAATCGTTAATAGATCAGTACAATTTTTTATTATTTCTTAATGAACAAGCACAAAACAGTGTTTACACTAAGAATAGGAATATTTAAAAGTTAAGCAGAAAATGTTATTAACTAACCAGTTAGTTTTTTAACTAATTCTATACGTTAAATAAACAAATATACAACTTCAAATAACCTCAAACCATAGAAAATATATACACAAAGGGTAACCTCAAACCACCCCCAAAATCAAGCTTCAGCTTGATCAGCGAATCATAGAAAGTACAATCATAGACGTACATTATAACGGATACTTTTATTTAATTTAACTGTTATTTGTAACAAATAATATAAAATTAAGATTGCTTACCGTATTAGCTGTCTTTAAGCACAAATAACGCGCAACCGTTTGATGAAAACTAAATTATGATAGCTTCAATGGTTTTTGAATAAATGGACATTAAACTTCTTCTAACACTCGAAGCAGTTATTCTTCTTTTGAAACAAAACAAAAAGTGGCTATATACATATTTCGAATTCGCAAAAGATGCATTATTTATTGCCAAAGTTCAAATTAGCGGATTATTTTTTTTGGGTGTCAAAATCAGACGACTTTGTTTATCATCATAGATAAGGTTATTTGCATTAAATGACATTTACTTCCTGATATGTTCAAAGGTTTCAATCGTGCCATCTATCATGCGATAGCTGAAACTAAAACTTTTGAATTGTAGAGCCCATCAGTTCTTACTTACTTGTCAATAAACTTCGATTAGTTACCGTAAGACTGCGCTAGATGATACAAAAGCTCTGCAGCTTAATTTTCGAAGATGAAATATATATATTACCAAATAAGGTAAATTTGATATCTAAAAAGTTGTTAGTAAACAAGTATATTCTTAATGAACCAAAAATATTAGTTCTATATAAAGTTTAATGAAGCAAATTGTAGTATTTAAAAGTAAAAATAAAGGGTAAAAGTATCATGCTATCCTGATACAAAAACTTAAAATTTTAAGGTTTGCGTTCTATACGAGGTATGATATGTAAATAATTTGACAAAGTTCATATTATTCAACTTATGTTCTCCTGATACAAAAATCGAAATTAAATATTTTGAATATTGCTCTTCTAAAGTAGATCTTTTTCAATCAACCCTTAGAACTTTGGAGGGGCGAAGATAAAAATCGTTTTTTAAAAAAGAAACTGACCTTTACTTAATCTAGTATATTTAATAAAAGACGTTTTGGAATGATTTTTATCTGCAGCCCCAATTCTATATTTTTATCAATATTCAATTTTTCACAAAAAAGAATAATTACTTTAAAAAAATATTACTACGTTAGGTATGGGTTAGGCAACATTAATTTCTTTTTTAATATTCGTTTGCATGTGACCAAAGTTAGAATAGAACGCTTTAGTCATGTGCCAGTTGCGCATTTCTTAGTTTGGTTGTTTACAAGTCCGTGTAAAAGTTACCTACATCTCTAGTTTTGGTCGTAACGAGACGTTCAATCCTAGACTTGATGAAAAATACGGCTAATGACCGTTTTCGGACTTGGGACTTCAGCACACAATATATGTAGGTACTACACCGAATGAGTAAAACCGATAACTTACCTACCAAACTCATCGAGCCTGTAGAATTAAAGGATACCTGTAGATAATGGATTAGATATATATTATTTGTTTTTGTAACGGTTTTATTTAACGTAAAATTAGATTAGGTACATTTTGCCTTATCTAAAATACACCAATTAAACATCAAAAGGAAGGTAAATTCCTAGACTAAATGTTACGAAGTAGTTCTTAACTGCATTTCGTATTTAGTTTCTTAACAGTTAAGTATGAGTACGGTTATTTGATTTTCGATTGATGCAAGAAAAGAAATACAGCAGCCGTATTAAACACTGGCGATACATACATTTCTTTTGTTTCGGTATATTTAAAGGGAATATAGACTCAAATATTAATTTAATTGTTCTTTTTTTTTTTTTTTGAACTCTTAAGTTATAACAAGACGAAATTTAAATCAAAAAATTCCCTTTAATCCAAATTCTTCGCACTTAAATATTTACAGATTTTCTCATATTCCCTTATAATATGACTTGTTCTTATGGCTGTATATAGAAATACAGGGCGTCTGTTAAATCTACGATAGCAGGTTAACTAGATACTGCAGTTGTAGATAAATTTTGTATATGTAATTTTAGAATGATACGTTACGTCGTAACTGATTAAAAATTAAAATATAAAAGTTGGCAAGCAAAAAATTGGTCAATATAAATAAAGTAGATAGTACAATCGTAAATTTAACAAATCACCATAAATATATGGTAATGAAGATGCCATTTGAGGGCAGAGACATTATTCTACAGTAAAAACATCTGATGATTGATAATACCAAATTTTACGACGTGTAAGGACCACAGGAAAAATAACTTCTGATGTTTATAAAACTTTCCAATTTGGTACAACTCGCTTCCACAATAGTTCGAAAAACTCCATTCCTTTTTGGGATCGATAAGGTAATAACCACCAAGACGCTACTACATTTATAATGTAGTAACATTTTTAAATTTAAAATATTTTAATAGTTTGCGTGTTGGGGAAATACAGAGTACATTACGTTACAGGGATTCCCTTAAGTATGCATGTAAAATAATTTCATAGATATAAATAGTCCCAAAACACAAATATTCTGTTTTAAATCACAAAAGCAATTTGATATTTATCTATCACTAATATACAAAATATAATATAAATTGACCTAATTTTAAGTTCAGTGAACTTCAAAGTAGGTGTATAAAATTTAATAAGAGGCAACAAAAAACGATCATCATTATTATTATTTTCATTATTATAAGCACGACGGAAATTTATTAGCCTTACTAGTAATTTACGTAATGAAAAGGTGAGCCAAGACTGCGAGAGAAAGAGCCACAGACACAGCAAATCTGGGGGGCATACACGCAGTTAGGCCAAGACCCATCGACAAATGGGGCCATCCAGGAAGGGGAGAAGCAGAATTTTTTCCACGTTGCATTGCAGCTGGATGTTCACCTTTTAGAAATTTGAAAGTTATGCGTCATTCGTCAGCACATAATTTCAAAAAAATTCTAATCGTATAACTGTAGGCATATTAAAGTAGCAAGTAATACTCTTAATTTTGAGTTCGGGATGGTGCACGGAATGGCCTTGTAAATTATACTTTAAAGTGAGTATTAATAATTATTTATTCGAATGACACTAAAGTTTTTGATAAGACAGAAACATGTAAAAGTTGAGGCTCCTTCGGTAGCAAGTTATTTGCATTTTAACTCGAGTTAAAATTAGTTTAGAGTTCGACTTAAAATCGTCTGGTAAATGCACACCATCCGTTCTGTTTAAGAGTAATTATTCAGGGCATCTTGTGGAATTTGACTGTTATGAGTAGGAGGATTACGTAATAGTTAACAAGAATTTGAATTTGGAAACTAACCGTTAAGAACGTGTAGTAGTACACTGGCTGAGTCCAAATTAGAGGGACTGCAAGTGTAGTTGCCGGAGTCCTCCGGTCTACTTTGGTAGATAACAAGAGTTCCCATAGTTGTATCTGAATCCACACGCTCCATTCGAATGTCAATTTTGGTTCGATCGAATGCTAAAACTCTTTCTCCATCATGATACCAAAAGATGTATGCAGGTTCTTCCAAAGAACGAGTTATCAAACATTTAAGGATCGCTTTGCTACCAGCCTTCACATATTTATCGGATTCACCCAGGATTTCAATTTTAGGAACTGTTAAAAATAACACTATTACTTTAGAAATGCGTTTGCCAACACTATCTCTATGTGTAATAATGAGAAAACTATACGATGAACATTATATATTGTTAGAGCTGACGTTTTACCAAATAGAAAATCATACGAAATTACGAAATGACACTCAATAAACTTTCCATTGGCAAATACTTCGACATAAAGTGGTAAAAACAGCGGAAGATTTTCCTTTGGGAACTATAGGAAAGAGCAGATGGTGGTAGTTAGGGAGAAAAGATGAATTGGACGAACTGGAAACATGGAGACTGAAAAGGGTCTTCCGCCTTGTCCTCCAGTTTTGTATTTCAGCGTAGCATTGGTAGCTGACGGGAATGGAATACACAAAAGATTTTTTTTTTATTTTTGAGTAGTTTCAGTTATTAACTGTAAAACTTCTAAAGAAGGCAAAGGGCGATGAAATGTGAAATTAATAATAACGTAGTGAAATTCAGAACTATCTAGGTTGTAGGTACTTTTTTAGTTTATTGAAATTCAATAACACCTTCAGAGATAGATATTGCAATTTGTTAAAACCAATATATCGTAAATACCGCTTAGCACCTGTTGCCAACATAAATTAGAAGTGTAATACACAAAGTGAAAAGAAGAAAAGCAATATCCAGATGCTTCCGGAAGCGTTCGCCTATTTTCACGATGTTGTTATTAAAACTGGATTTCAGTTAGATTGCATGAAAAATATTCTCAGTTTTTAAAAATAAAGATGCAACAGCGTTTTCTTTTTTCTTTTCAACGGGCACATTTTAAAGTGTTCGACAATACACAGCCGTAAAAACTGTTTCGAAACTTTGAGTAGTCATTTCAAACACTACACAATTAATTCTCTAAAGTGCCGTGTTGTACGAAATGTAAATATCATGTAACTTTAGTTTGGCTTGCAGTTTATGTCACGCTTTCGAGCTTTATTGCGAAACGGATGGACTAATCGGTTTAAAAAGGAAAATCATAAATATTTTCAATCAGGTACGCACAGAAAAAAGAAAAATGCATGTTCTCTTATTCTATATATGAGAATTTTACTTTTTGTAACATCAGAAAAGCTCATTCATGTATTACGTAAGTTTTATTTCTTTTTGGTGCCATGGAGGACAGAATCCAATCCAAATTCGGAGTCATGTATTCAAGTATCATGGATTGAGGACGATCAATTTGTATTTAGCAAGAATATAATATTTAAATACGATGTTAATAATTTGCTTGAATAAATATTAAATGGACACGAAATCTAAACAGATTTTAAGAAGACATACGAGGGTGGATTGATAAGTTTCCGGCCTAACCAAGAGATGACGCCACTAGGCCTACCTTGAGGTGACATTCTATAGTACCATCCTTGGATAGCTTGTAGCTATAGTTTCAGCCCGATCTCCTTGCTAGTGTAGGTTTGACAGCACGCTGAACAAGACGCCTCTGTGGTTTTCGTAAAAATGGAAAAGCAGGAAAATCGTGCTGTCATCAAATACTTTTATTTGAAGGGGTTAACGCCGAAGGAAATTAAAAAAGAGATGGACTCAACACTGGGGACATCCTCCCCGTCATATTCAACCGTTAAGCAGTGGGTTTCCGAGTTTAAAAAGGGTCGTGTGAGCACCTCTGATGGGCCTCGCTCAGGACGCCCCGTTGAGGTCACAACTCCAGATATGATCGAAAAAATTCATCAAATAGTGCTGGGAGACCGCAGATTGAAAGTGCGTGAGATAGCTGAGACCTGTAAGATGTCATATGAACGTGTGCAACATATTTTGCACCAACATTTGCATATGGAAAAGCTCTGTGCAAGATGGGTGCCGCGTTTGCTAACAGTCGACCAAAAATTGATTCGAAAAAACATTTCTACCGCAAATTTGTCATTGTATAAGCGTAATCCAAGCGAATTTTTGCGTCGATTCGTAACCGTTGACGAAACGTGGGTCCACCACTACACTCCTGAAACCAAAGAACAGTCTAAACAGTGGATTGGACCAGGGGAACCAACTCCAAAGAAGGCAAAAACAATTTTTTCGGCGAACAAGGTTATGGCTACTGTTTTTTGGGATGCAAGAGGTATTATATACATTGATTACCTTGCAAAGGGTAATACTATCACTGGTCAATACTACGCAGACTTATTGCAACGTTTGAGCCACGAGGTGAAAATTAAACGACCTCATCTGGCGAAGAAAAAAATCTTGTTTCATCACGATAACGCACCAGCGCACACGTCAATCGTTGCGACGGCTAAAATCAACGATCTAAAGTTTGAATTGATGCCGCACCCTCCTTACTCTCCAGACCTAGCCCCGAGTGACTATTTTCTGTTCCCTAATCTCAAAAAATGGCTTGGCGGTAAGAGATTTGCGGACAATGAAGAAGTAATCGAAGCTGTAAATGGTTATTTTGAGGAGCTTGACGAATCAGTCTATAGAGATGGCATTAATAGACTGGAACACCGCTATGAGAAATGTATCAGCCTTGGAGGAGATTATGTTGAGAAATAAAAAAAAAAAATTTTTAAAAACCTTGTTTTTCTTGGTCAGGCCGGAAACTTATCAATCCACCCTCGTATAGCAATGTATAGGAGGGGGAGGGGTAAAGGTTTGCTTACTTTTGCTGACAAGGGAAGGGAAGGCGAAAAATTACTAATATTCTGTTTATGTAGTAGGTAGTACCTACTCGAATAGCTTTCGTTATTAGATATAAAAACTTATTGTTAATTATCCACAATAATTATTTCGCCATAGCGTGATTCTTCAAGGGGAAAAATAAACAATAATAATTATTAAAAAACTTTTGTAAGATTGTGTTGCCCTTTTCTGTTAGACAGCATACATAAATTGAATCATTTAATATATTGTGAAAAGGCTGAACAACTGTCGCAGTCGAAAGAACAAACAGTAGATAAAATCATTGTTGGTATCGCTAACAGTTGATCTTGATAAAAGTGTATTTATAGCTCTAGCGAAAGATTATCGTATTAGATCTTCGTGCTGATTCGATGGAAATCCTGCATGCTTAGGTAGGCTACAAAAAAAGTTTGTGTCCTACAATTATTTTTTACGTAGAACAAAGCCAAACAGAGACAACACAAAAATCCGCATTTTTTTGGTAGCGTTGTTTGCTTGTATGAATATTACGTATTTGGTAGTTTGTATACGATACATACACATGTATATCAAGTTGATTTAGAATTATAGAGAGAAGGCATTAGAGCTTTTTGTTTGAAAATTACAGCCTTAAGGACTAAAAATCCTCTGCAACCTCTGGGGCACTGCAGACAAATTACTTCACTTGAACTTACCGACGACGTTGAGAGTGATAAAATGGCTCATTTTAGGTTCAGTGCTGACTTGACATTCGTATTCACCAGCGTCTCTCGCCTGGACATATTTAACTTGTAGCGTCCAGGTGTCCGTGGAGTCAACCAGGAATGCTTGAAAACGATCATCAGCTATAAATGTGTACCTGTTGACAATCGACACAAGAAATTATGTTCATGCAAACTTTTCAAACTTAAAAATACAACTTCAGACGCCAGTCTCTAAAGAACAACAGAATTATGATATCTGTTACCAAAAATGACATTATTAAAGGAGTTCTAAATAATTCTAATACTCGAAGATTAATAATGAAACTGTCCAGAATTGTATGTAAGAAATTAGCTCTGTAGATATAGTGAAATCAAAATGAATTTAACTTTGATGCATTATAATTTCGCGCGTAATTTTTATTAAGGGATTGGTGAAACTTGAGAATAAATTTGTAGTATCTATTAGCATTAAATAACATCCTATTCGGTGGCAAACGAGTTATTTTGATGTAATAAAGGCACATACAATTAATTGTGTCAATGCAGTTATAATCATTCGGTTAACTTTGATGATTACCTGCAAATTTGTTGGAAACAATAATATGAATCACCTTATTATTTAGATAAACAGTTTGCTTTAATAATGTGTTTGCTTTGAACCCGGCGCAAACAAATTCAGTTACACAATGGCACTGTAAAACATTGGAATTACAGTAGAAATGTAAATCAGTATAACAATATTAAATTTTTTACTAATTATACATTTTAACGGACGTATAATGAAAAGCTCAATCATTAAAACAAGGATATCATATGTATATTCATTAGTAACATTTAATTCTAGTTCTCAAATTAACTTTAGGCATTTATATGAATAATTTAGTTTTGAGAATCAATTGAAATATCAAATATACAATATTTTATAATTGCAAAAACAGAATGTACCTATAAGTATATTATCTAGCTCATATAAAATAAGGAATAATAATATGAAAAGTCAGTATTATGATGGTTAATCAAAGAAAGGTTTTTAAAATGCATACAATACGGAAATTTCAGGCATAATTGTATAAATACTGTAAAAGGAATACATTTTTTAATTTATTTCTATGTAAATGCAACAGAAACAGTATTTAGTTTAGGTTTTTTCGTTTTCATTTCGGAGATTTAGGAATGGCATTTCTGATCATCAAATAAATAATTTAATTATTTTATTGGAAGGCCGTGAACCCCTTCCCACAAACTTAAAACAAAAGTTATAAATAACGGTACATTTTACGATAAGGATGAAGTCGATATTTACAATTAGTTTCTATTTTTAACCCCCTTGAACATGGTCCTATTTACAAATCTATTTTCTACTATCTTGCCTCATTCAATTCTAAGAAATAATTTCCTTTTTTCATTTGGTTAGGTCAAAATATTTATTCCTTAACTCCTTTCCAAGAAATAACCTTCATTTACTAAATCTTTATTTTCTTCTCTGACCGCTATTGGTTATCTAACTCGGTCCAGTGTCCAGTCTTTCTTTTTTCATTTCCATATCAATTTCAATTTCATCATTTCAATTGTTTTCAAATTTAAGTCTATAATGATCCCAAACGAAATAAATAAACACTTAAAACCAAAAATTCCGTAAAACGTTTAGAAACGTATAAACTTAAAAAACTCGTTTTGACACCCAGGGTGTTATCTTCAGTTAAATCTTAAATGGATTGTTTATGTAATGAATTTCACTTGAATAGTTCAATTAAATGATTTTCAGCACTTCAATAGTTTTGGAAATAGGGGATATTCAAAATGTCGAAAAGAAACATTAAAACAATACTGCATATAATATACGATTTTTATTAAATTTGCTTAAAATGCCCACCTATTTACGATTAATAAAAAATTCTTTTGACTATCCACCAAAGTCTGTAAGTACTTAAACTTATATGTTTTACATTGTTTTCCACTTCGCTACAATTTTAAAGATATTTTGAGTAAGGTTTTGTTAAATTTTCAAAGCGTTGTGAATGCGATATGGTCCTATTATTTTCCGCGCATAATCTTGAATGTTATATGGTAGGTTGGGGGGTCGCTGGTCACCATGGAATTATAAATTCTCCGTTATAATCCATTGAGACTCATATTATCAATCACTACAAATGACTGCTTACCTGTCTACAGTAAGTATATGGGCGTCTCTCTTTCGGATCCAGGAGACAGATTTGTTGCCAAGCTGTTTCACTCTGCAGGGAAGATAAGCATGAGTTCCCAGCTGCGTCGTTATGTTTGTGGTTGTTGTGGGATCGAAATACGGCCCAGTGTATAAGCCTGTGAATCTTTTAACTGTATGAGCCGCCTCTCCTTTGGAAAACACTGAAACAAAATCACTTCCGATAATACTACTTCGCCTTTGTTATTTTCACAAACAATAAACACAAAGAAGCACGGTCGTCCTCTTCGGAATAAAATAATCAACAGTTTTGAGAAAAAAGTATGAAAGAGGCAATTTGCTGATATTTATGGTTTGCAATGGCAAGTCCGTCGGAGGCCTTGGGAGGCAAAATAAAATCAGACTTCCGCCGCTTCAGTTACATATTTTTTAAAAAATTCAACAATAATTGTAATAAAATGTGCAATTATGTAGATGGTGTTGTAGACTTTGTTCGAAGTTTGATTGAAAAGGATTTTTCGAAATTTAGAGCTCTTCAGGAACAGAAGCCTGTGGCGGGCCGCCCCTCCCTTCCTTAGTCATCCCTTAGTCAACCTCTGGTGGTTGCATATTGTTACTTCATAGCTTCAATTAGTAATGCATTATTGGCAGGTATTAGCATATAATTGTTTAATATTTCCGATTAATAATGTATTCTTCNTATATATACATATATATATAAGTATGGAAATTTTCTGCAACAAGATTTTTGGTTGCAACGTGTAAGACTATGCAAATTAAAAACTAATACATAGCTAACTACTGTTCTGCAGAATGTAAAAGCGTTTGAATTTTTATTAACCTTCTTGTAGGAAATTGCAAACTCAATTAGTATTAGCAATTCAAAATTTGAAATACAGCTCTCAAAGCCAATAACAATCTTGGCCGGTTTACAATTACAATTAAAAATGTAACGATAAAACAAATTAGGAATTACACTCAGGGGTCTATAACCTAGCTCAGGCCACGTAGGCAGCAACTTGAAAACACGCCTAAAAGAACTCAAAAATAGTTATTTATAAAACGGACAGATACACGACTGATCCTAATATAAGGGTTCCCTTTTTCATTCGGACGTACGGAACCCTAGTAATATAAAATGATTCAACGTGCTCCATACATTTATAACAGGAAAACCATCATTTTAAAGATAACTTATAAATTTTATACATATACAGGTGATTATGATTTTTCTTTTGTAACAATTTTCTTTGAAACTACCAAAACCTCACGATTAGTTGTTTTATGAACACAAGGATATTCTCTTTTTCTGTAAAAGTGTCTGTATTTTAATCTGTCTGTCCCCATCTTATAAGTATCACTTTCTAAACAAAACGCAGTATCTTTACAGCTCCTGCGTATTGACAGTTGCGCGGCCGGGTCGTGACTCGTCACGAGTTCGCGTTACGAAAATTTAAAGCGGCCAATGCAATAATATTGCAGAAATTTCATCATTTTTGCTTGTCTGGCATTCAATTCACAATCGCAATGCTTAGCGCTTCGCACTCACAATTATTACGTCAGAGGTGGGGAAAACATATGCCTTATCAGTAAAGTTTATTGTGGTAAATTGGGATGTCTGTATCTCCTTTTTCATCTAAGGACATGGTGTTTATGATTTACGTTTTTTGAAAAGGTTTTCTCTGAATCAGTCGAAATTTTATTTGTATTTAATAACGCAAAAGCAACTCATTAAAGCTTATGAATATAATTTATGATGTAAAGTTTGCTTTGCAAATCGGACAAAGACATGAAATTTTGGTTTGTTCGGTGTAATCTTCGTGTAAATTGGTTCGTACAAACAAGTTTTAAGTTAAACAAGAGATTTACTTACATTAAGAAACATTAGCCATTAGGTGTTGAACTTTTTAACACAAATTAGCATAAGTGTTTTGCACATTCCTTTCATTAAAAGGACAAGTTACGAAATAGCAACGCTACATCCTTGCAATTTCGGCCTCTCTTTGTTAATTAATTAATGTGAGATCTTCGTGGGAAAGTATTAACCTAAGGAAAACTTTAATAGCTTCTCAAGTACGAAAGCCTTTGTAAAGACACAGACTTACAGCAAACTTGTCTCTTTATAAACGTTCTACCTTGGTATATACTTGAAACAAGGGTAACTCTCGCAAAATTTAGTTAAATCATTACGAAACCTTTCACTACACCACACGCCTTATATGACCTATTAAAATTGACCTATTCTAAATTCCGTTTTATTCAAACGGGCTCACAAGAGGGCTCCGGAAAGCCATGACATCGTAGAAATGAAAAGCTATATCATCATTATACCTGTAATAGTTATTTGAAGTAGTCATATAAAATGATTATCTGTTTATTAATTTCATTTTTAACTACAAAACGTTATTCTTAAAAATATTGTTATAGAAAAGTAGCTGTTTGATGAAATATGTACGAAATTGAAATGTAACTCGATATTTTGACTTGCAATTAGCTTAGCTTAGACTAGGATTTTGGTATGGTTATGTTAGGTTGCGATTTAATAAGCATTTAGAGTTATAAGTCGAAATTTCAACTTATAATTCAAAATTTCGAATTACAGTCGAAATTTCAACTTACAACTTAAAGTTTCGAGTTGCAAGTCGAAATTTCGAATTACAAGTGGAGATTTCAAGTTACAACTCGAAATTTCGAGTTGCAAGTGGAAATTTAAAAAAAAATTATGTTTGGCCCTTCTACGCGTTTATTAACCATGCGCTTACAGGGCTGACGTAATATTTTTTGTGTAATTAATTTAACCCTGTTAATGGGTGGTATGCATAAAATTGAGAGCGAAATATAATCTCACATTTTCAGAGCATCCATTGTATTTGATTTGAAGTATACATGCCACCAAATTATATTATTCAAGTGGTATCAAACACTTTTGTTAAACATAGGAATTTAAACCTGATGCTAGTTTATAAACGAGGAAATTTTTAAACCTTATGACCTATAAAATAAATAACTAACCCTACCCCTAAAACAACGAGTTAATTTTCATGTATCTATTATTTACTGAACATTATTATTAGTTGCACAAGTGATTCCTGTAATTAATTTTGAAAATTAAACGTTGGCATTTAGTATATTTAGAAGGATTTTTCGAAATGTAACACTGATTTTACATGACTTTAATTGAACGAAAGTTACATTAGATTTCAAAGGGCAAATTTTTGGTGCTGGACGGATAAAAACTTAATGTTTTCCGGTGTGTACATAGTGAAAAAAATCCAATTTCTTCTGAATTACAAGAACTGTTCTATTTTGCGAGTTAAACTGTTCTCTAAATGCATTTTAGCGTTGTCGTTCGATTTGCATCTCGAGAAGTTGGCAATACTAATATTCATACTTTCCAGTCAAATATCCAGTATCGAAAATAAGTAAAACCATTTCGCTTTTTGCATTTTTATAGGTTTAGATGTGTTAAATTCCTGGGGGATATTTTTGTTAAGAAATTTATTGGATACATGCTCGTGTTATAGTCTCCCCCGGGACGATTCCCATTTTCTCCTTGAAACAAGAATTTTTCTAGTGATATTTTTTTATACCTAATACACACATCGATCAGCGAGATAAACGTTTTTTGAAAATACATACCAATAAAAATTAGCAACAACATTAAGGTAGTGTTTTAATTTTTAAGGCAAAACATGTCCGTTCGACAAAGTGGCGATTTTATTGGATTTTTGCCAAATGCACTGGGACCAGTTTCATATTATGTACCCATATGCTAATGTCTAACAAAATATTACACATAATCTTGGGGCTAATAAAGTAGCCATACGGAGCTCTACATTCTAAAACAAAGACGCAGTCTTCGTTACTACTTCAGCTAGTTTCATAAATATATATATACATATATATATAAGTATGGAAATTTTCTGCAACAAGATTTTTGGTTGCAACGTGTAAGACTATGCAAATTAAAAACTAATACATAGCTAACTACTGTTCTGCAGAATGTAAAAGCGTTTGAATTTTTATTAACCTTCTTGTAGGAAATTGCAAACTCAATTAGTATTAGCAATTCAAAATTTGAAATACAGCTCTCAAAGCCAATAACAATCTTGGCCGGTTTACAATTACAATTAAAAATGTAACGATAAAACAAATTAGGAATTACACTCAGGGGTCTATAACCTAGCTCAGGCCACGTAGGCAGCAACTTGAAAACACGCCTAAAAGAACTCAAAAATAGTTATTTATAAAACGGACAGATACACGACTGATCCTAATATAAGGGTTCCCTTTTTCATTCGGACGTACGGAACCCTAGTAATATAAAATGATTCAACGTGCTCCATACATTTATAACAGGAAAACCATCATTTTAAAGATAACTTATAAATTTTATATTACAAAAACAAACTAAAGCAATAATAGTAACTCTATTTGAATGTTATTAGACACATAAACTTTGAACTAATTTTGTTGGTCTTGTTAATTTGACTTTAAGTATTTAAAACCAGATTTTAGATGAAATAAAGTGCTCTGGTGTAGAAAGTTAGGTGTAACGTTGTTATATTTTTAAAAAGAGCCTTTATACATACTTTTAAGTAAATTCCTATTAAGAAAAGGGTCATTGCAAAAGATAAACTTTGGTGAAACAAATAAGAAAGTTAAAGGAAAACTTTGCTGGAACAACAATCTCATGCAATTTTCAAGAAAGTTTGTCTAAGTTTTAACGTTTTTTATGGTTCCTGCAAGTATATTTTTGTAAGCAATACGTACACAAAATGCAACGTTAAATACAATAGAAATGTAAATTTAAAGTTATAAACTTTCTGAGGAATCGTCACCATATTTTTTTGACACCACTTAATGTAGGAGTATTTAAAGGTTTCAAGATTGACTAATTTTTTTACCGAAATTTACAATAAACAAAAAAAAGTCATTTAACACCAAAATTAAAATTATATTATANCATTTGGCACAAAGTTAGATTATATTATAAATTAAATAAAAATTCGCTTTTCCTTAAGTTGACTCTAAAGCGTTGTGCAACAGTCGGCAATTCGCGCGGTGCAACGGTTGGGACGTTCGAGTCCGACGATTTCAAATTCGAACCGACACGTCAGGCATCGTCGACTGTCGGCCGGTGAATCGCCCGACCAATTCACCGCGCATCGTTCTTTAAGCTTCAAAACGCCGGCCAAAAATC